GCTAAATAAACCTCTTTTCTTTATAAATTACCCAGTCCCAGGTATTCTGTTATAGCAACACAAAACAGACTAAGACAGTGTGGACAACTGGTTTTCAACATAGGTACACATGCAGTTGGTAGAGAAAGAATAGTCTTTTCAACAAATTGTGGTGGTACAATTGAATTTTCACATGTAATAAGTAAATTTTTCAATCCATACCACACAGCATATATAACAAAAGACACTAGCAGCAATTTCCCCTTGCCTTAGATATTTGTGGAACTTTGAACTTGAGGGAGATGATTTAGGGTATCTGGTGTAAAAAATTTCTAAGCAGCAAAGCACTCAAAAGGTGACATGGGTGTTATTAGAGGCATTCAGTTTTAAAAGGGAAACAGAAGATAAAAGTTTTGAAAATTTGCAGCCTGATAATGTGAGAGAAATGAAAATCCCCACTGCAGAAATTTTCATAAGTAACAAGAAGCCAAATGTTAATCCATAAGACAATGGGGAAAATATCTCCATGGCATGTCAGAGGTCTTCATGTAAGTCCCTCCCATCACAGGCCCAGAGACTTAGGAGGAAAAGACAGTTTTGTGGGCTGGGCCCAGGGCCCCCCTGCTCTGTGCAGCCTAGGGACTTGGTGGTCTGTGTTCCAGCTGCTCCAGCCATGGCTAAAAGGAGTCAAGGTGCAGCTCAGGCTGTTGCTTCAGAGGGTGGAAGCCCCAAGCCTTGCAGCTTCCAGGTGGTGTTGAGACTGTGGGTACACAGAAGTTGAGAATTAAGATTTAGGAACTTCTACCTACATTTCATAGGATGTATGGAAATGCCTGGATGCCCACGCAGAAGTTTGCTGTAGGGTCAGGGGCCTCATGGAAAACCTCTGCTAGGGCAGTGACGAAGGGAAATGTGGGGCCAGAACCCCCACAGAGAGTCCTTGTGGGGCACCACCTAGTGGAACTGTGAGAAGGAGGGCCACCATCCTCCAGACCCCAGAATGGTAGATCCACTGACAGCTTGCACTGTGCACCAGGAAAAGCTGCAGACACTCAACACCAGCCTGTGAAAGCACCTGGAGGGAGGCTATACTCTGCAAAGCCACAGGGATGCAGCTGCTCAAGACCATGGGAACCCACCCCTTGCATCAGCGTGACCTGGATATGAGACGTGGAGTCAGAGGAGATCATTTTGGAGCTTTATGATTTGACTGCCCTGCTGGATTTCAGACTTGCATGGGGCTTGTAGCCCCTTTGTTTTGGCCAATTTCTCCCATTTGGAATGGCTATATTTACCCAATGCCTGTACTCCCATTGTATCTAGGAAGCAACTAACTTGTTTTTGATTTTACAGGCTCATAGGTGGAAGGGACTTGCCTTGTCTCAGATGGGACTTTGGACTGTGGAATTCTGAGTTAATGTTGAAATGAGTTAAGACTTTGAGGGACTATTGCGAAGGCATGATTGGTTTTGAAATGTGAGGACATGAGATTTTGGAGGGGGTGGAGCGGAATGATATGGTTTGGCTGTGTCCCCACCTAAATCTCATCTTGAATTGTAACTCCGACAATTCCCAAGCCTCATGGGAAGAACCTGGCGGGAGGTAATTGAATCATAGGGGTGGGTCTTTCCTATGCTGTTCTTGTGATAGTGAATAAGTCTCATGAGATCTGATGGTTTAAAAAAAAAACAGGATTTTCTTGCACAAACTCTCTTCTCTTGTCTGCCACCATGTGAGGTGTGACTTTAACCTTCTGCCATGATTGTGAGGTCTCTCCAGCTACGTGGAACTGTAAGTCCATTAAACCTCTTTCTATAGTAAATTGCCCAGTCTTGGTTATGTCTTTATCAGCAGCATGAAAATGGACTAATAAATATATAAACCAGTGGGGTCATCTGGGTCTACATTTGGGGTGGAAAGATTTAGAGCTGGGTTTTCTACCATTTTACACACACACACACACACACACACAAACACACACTATTTTAATGGAAATAGAGACCTAAACTTTAAAAATTATAGAAGTTTTATAATATAATTTATGGGACTATATGCTTGATGTGGGTAGGTAGGTTGTTTCAAACAATATAAAAAGTGCAAAAGTCATAAAAGAAATTATTAATATATTTGACTATCTCAAAGTTGAAAACTTTATGTCAAGAGACAATATAAAATAAGTTTAAGACAAAAGACTTTCTGAAAAAAGTAATTTTCCCATATACGACAAACTATTAATATTTGGTTTGGGAGTTTAATTAGGTTCCTGCATGTGTTTTAATAACCTCACATTTAAATGAAGAAGAAGAAGACAAATAGTTCATTAAAAAATCAGGAAAGATATAAATATGTGAGAAAATTTAAACCCTACTTGCAATTCGAGAAAGGCAAACTAAGACTATAACAAAATACTGCTTTCACTAGACTGGCAACAATTTCAAAGCTCACTAATAGCAAGGCTTGGGAAAACTGCTGCTTTCAAACACTACTCTTGAGGATACAAGTTGATATGGCAATTCTGGTGGCAATTTGGCAGTATCTGTTAACATTAAAAATGTTCATACCCTTTGAGTCAGCAATACCAGTTCTGATTATATTTAAAGTAGGAAAAAGTCTCTATGCTCAAGTAGGCACACAGAAGAGTGTTCATTGAAACACTGCTGTAACACTAAAAAAAAATTAAATAGTAATGGATCAATTTCTGCATTAGAGAAGGAAATGCTAAATAAATTATGCCTATTCATATTTTGGAATATTGTGTTGATGTTGAAAAGAAAGAATTAAATCCATGTTGGTGACACAGAAAAAAATTAAGTAACAAATATTGAGTGAAAAATCAACTGACATTTTAACCAAAGGCTTTTAAAAATCCAAAGCAATACCACATATTTTAATAAGTACATATGTATGTAAATGCATAGGAAAAGATACGGTAGTATTCATGCCAAATTGAAATCAGAAATAATTTCTGGGAAAAGGACTAGGATTTTGGTTGGTTGTCAGGTAGAACTTTTGCCTGGCTGGTAACAGTTTTTTTTTTTTTTTTTTTTTTTGGTAATAACAAGGATATATTTATGCATTAATTGTACAATTAAATAAATAACATTAAAATTATCATAGTATAATATTGTTCTTTACTTGAAATGAATTTCCTATTTTTATTTTTCAGTAGTTTTTAATGGTTAGAAATGAGTGTTGAATTCCAGTACATGCTTTTTCAACCCATGTTGAGATTATTAATACACAAATTTCCTGCATTTGAAACAATCTTGCATTTGGGGAATAAAGACAACTTCTACGGTCTGAATGTTTATGTCGCTTCAAAATTTGTATGCTGAAATCCTAATCCCCACAGTCTGGTATCAGGAGGCCAGAACTTTAGGAGTTGGTAAGGTCATGAGAGTAAGGCCCCATGGACTCTCTTTCCCCTGCCATTATATAAAGACACCGTGAGAAGGTGCCATCTTTTGAGGAGCCAATCCCTCACCAGACACCAAATCTACCAGCACTTTGATCTTGAACATCCCAGCCTCTAGAACTGTGAGAAATAAATTTTTGTGATTTAGAAGCCACCTAGTCTACGGCATTTTGTTATAGCAGCCAAACGGAATAAGACACCAACCTTTTCATAACTGATTATTCCATCATTTTGTTTCTCAGTTCTATTTATGAAGAGTTTCTTTAGCCTTTTAACATATGTATCCATAATTGAGATAGTCTATAATTTTTCTTGCCTGAATCTGGTAACAGAATTAAGTTTATTTTATATAATGAATTAGGAAGTTTTAAGAATTCTCTCATGCTCTGGAATCATTTATATAGTATGAAATTTTATATTGTTTTTTGAAATTTTGAAAAGTTTAACTAGTATAAATTTATGGGCTTTTGGTGGATTGGTTCATTGAATTTTCCTGAGTTATTACTTATTTCTTCAGATTTTCCACTTTCTGCTATATAATTTTAAATACTTTTTTCCAAAAAACCATTCATTCAATGAGATATTCAAAGTTGCTGGATGCACGTTTGTAGTAAGGGAAGCCTGTTTTCTTGAGGAAGGAGCCTACAACATCAATAGTCGTGTATATTATGATTCTTTCCCCATATTTTCCCCAGAGCAACCAAGGAGACTATGCACTAGCTGAAGGGAAATATCCAGACCTTCTAGAATTTTTAAAATACTGTTTCTGAACTGACACTAATTCCTAAAGACTCCAAGCACCATCATGTACTTCTGTTCAGCTTGCAAATTTATGGCGGTCACATGCTAGATGGAGTCTTGGCCTAAGTCCCCATGCCAAAGGAGTCCAGTGAAGTCACAGCCCCCTACCTGTAGTATTTATCTAGTTCCAGAATATGTATTAGGGCTAAATATATGCAGTAACTAACAGAGTCCCTCATGTTTGTTCCCTGCTCCATGGAGTGAGGGCTATGACAAGATATCACCTCATGAGAAACAAGTTGCTGTACCCTGGGCCACCCCCCCAAAAAGAAAGAGACACAACACTTGGCAGGCCTCCTCAGATTTGGGATATGACATACACCACATTTGGACAGCTTGCTAGGACACATTTCCTGGGTATCTATAAAACTGCCAGATTTGACTGGGGCCTATAAGTTGCCACAGGTTCAGACTACAGAAGGAGTGTCCCTACTACTTGGGCCTCATGACTCAGGAGATTCAGTGGCATCAGAAGTGTAAATGGCCGATAAAGACATGGTGAGGAATTTCTGGTAAGTTCTAATAGGAGGATCACAGAACATACCACTTGGATTTTGCAGTAAGAGATGCTCTCTTCTGCTGACAACAATTCTCCATTTGAAAAGCAACTCCTGGTGTACTACTGGATCTTGATAAATACTGAATGCTTGCCCGTAAGACATAAAGTGGCCTGAATTGAGGTAATCTGATTCACCAAGTCACAAAATTGGAGAGATGTGATCATGTCTAGGAGGCATAACAAAACTGCATATGCTGGTGGCTCGGATTCACACGGCTCTTTATTGTTTCTCTCTCACTCTGCAGCTATGGCCTGATGAAGAGGCCTCTATGACCAGTCAACAACGAAGGAAAAAGTACCACCTGATTTGTGGATGGATCTGTCCTGCCATATTTGTAGCAGTGAGAAGTGGACAGTTGCTACATTACAGCCCCACTCGAGGAAGTCCTGGAGAGACAGGGGTGAGCTGAAATCATTCCAGTGGGCAGCCTTAATATAGATCTTCACTAATATGGGGACTAGCAGATAGACTGGCTGACCTGGGATGTAGAAAGAACAAGAATGATATACTGATGGCGAGGCAGGTTGTAAGAGCTTTGTGGATGGGTTTCTTGGAGGGGGCACAGAGTGTGAAGATACGTATGTTCCACATAAAGCCCCCCTACAGGTATCCATTGAGGAAGTTCTTAAAATCCAGATGGATAAGAATATCCACATCAGCCTCTTTGGTCATCAATGGAAGCTCAAAGGCCCCATATAGAAAGTGATCATGGAGGCATGGATTTAATAAAATGGGCTCTAATTCACAAGGGTGATCTAGCTACCAGTGTAACTGAATTCTTAACCTGTCAACAGCAGAGACCAATGCGGAACTCTTGCTGGAATTATCTTTTATGGGGATCAGGCAGATGTCTGGCAGTATTTTGAGTATCTGGAATTCTTTCATGATGGAAGAAGCAGCTATTTTTCCTCACAAGGAGAAATACACATTCTGATTGTGGATTTGTCTATTCCCTTTCTGCCAGAGCTACCATTTGTGAACTTACAGAATGTCTCATCCATTGCCATGGTAGCCCACACAATATGGCTTCCAACAAGAAATACATATTATAAGGAGGAACTGCAATAATGGTCTCACCCCCATGGATTCACTAGTCTGACTATGTACCACATCACCTAAAAGAAGTTGCCTTGTTAGAATCATGGAATGGCTTTTGGAAGACTCAGTATGGCTCCTCACGAAAATAACATCTGGGAGATTGGGGTGCTGGTCTACTGGATTTGCTGTGTCTTAATCTAGTGACCAATGTAGGAAACAAGGGTGAGGGGAAAGTGTTCCAATTACGTTACAACATATCCTCTCCTGAACACAATTTTTGTTCTTTTCCTCATGACTTTCAGCTCAGTGGGTTTGAAGGTCCTAGTGCTCCAGGGAGGAACGCTTTGGGGAGGGAACAGTCACAGTTCCATTAAACTAGAATCTGAGGCTGTTTCTTAACAGTCTGTACTGCTTAACCAGTAGGCAGGAAAGAAAGTTAGTGTACAGTGTGATTGATCTTGATTACCAAGGAGAAATTAGGTTTCCGTTACAAAATGGGGGCAATAGAGAACTATATCTAAAACCCAGCACTTCTTAGTAAGTCCTTACTCAACGGTATTGATCAATGGAAGATACGTCCACCAAGGACCCAAATTCTACAGGAAGAAAAGTTGAGTCACACCAATTTTCATACTATCCCTTCCATTCAAGAATCGGGAGAGGGTAAGAGGACCATAAAAGAGTTATCAAAGAAGGAAGTTTGAAAATCAACCCAGGACTCATCACAAACCTCAGAATGGGTCTCGTGATCTGTTTCCTTTGGCTTCCTTTTTTTTTTCCCTTTGCTACTTTTGTGGAAGCACAGGTGGTAGCTAAGATTTTAGGTTTCAGGTAAGAGTATAACTGACTTGGCATCACCTCATAATGATATGTTACTGGGGATTTTGTGTGAATACATTTTTCACCAGGGCAAGATATATGAACAAGAATATATGCTAACAAAGGGGGTGAAATATGCTAGATATTTTCCGTTTGCCCCACTATATGCCACTATATGTAGTCTCTATCCTCTTTCACTTTGCTCTGTGAGCCATGCAGGTGGCCTTTATGGACAACATTAATGGTTTCTGTGGAGTCAGCCAATGAAAGGCATTGACAAGAAACTGGAGGAAGGAAGGATGAAGCTTTTCACTAGGCTTCCTCTCTAGTGGTAAGTACACCAATGCCGTCACATATGGTTCTTCTCATTGAAGATCACTTACAGGCTTTTTCCTATACCACTAGATTCTAATGTAATTGGCACACAGAGGTAAAAGAAAGCATCAAGGAAAAGCTTCTCCCTAAGAAGCTTTCATGAGGACATTTTTGCCTTTTACATTGGGACCCTGCTTTCCTTTCTGCTTGCTTCCGCTCCTGACCTTCCTTGTTTGCGGCTATCATTAAATCAGCCAAGTCCTACTCTTGCTTCTAGTCTTGGCGTTTTAGCTCAGAAAGTGAGCTAAACAGATCATTAACCTGACCCATTGATGTGAAAATTTGTAAAACTCCAAGTTTGTGATGTATGTTTAATTCTTATTCTCAGTTTGGAATGTTGTTTCAGAGGGTACCTATTTATCTATTTTAATGAATATATTAATAAGAATTCAGAGTGGAAGACTCATGTACTTTTATTTGCTTCTTACTAGAAGTATTAACAAACATTTATTGAGCATCTTCTGTGTCTTAGGCAGTGTGCAAAAATTTTGACTGACAAACACATGGCTCCTGCTTTCAAATAGCTAATAATGTAGTTAGGGAAATAGACAAATAACCAAATATCTATAATATATGAGAAATTATATAATAGTAGCATAGACAAAATGTTATGGGAACATAAAGTATGTTGTTATTCATTCTTCCTAAATGAAGAAAGCTTCATCAAAGAAGTGCCATTAGAACTGTGTGACAAAGGCACAGGAAATGGACATTCTGGCTATCATGGTCACAGCATGAGGTATTCAGAGAATGGAAACTAGTCCATTGTAGTTAGATGTAGAGGGCATGAAAGTGAATGTCAGAAAATAATTCTGGAATAGTACATTGGGGCCAGTTTATTAAGGAGCTTGAATGTCAAGGCAGATAATTAAACTGTATTCTTCAGATAGAACCGTCAGATTATTTTAAACAGCAGAGTGACAGGATTAACCCTAAATTTCAGGGAAATATTTAGTAGCAATGTGACATATTGAGTGGCATGCAATTTGATGACTTTTGATATATATACCCCCAAGAAACACTACAAAAAATAATGAACATATTAATCACCCCCAAATTTTCCTTGCCCCCATCCCTAAGCAATCACAGATTTGTTTGCTGTCATTATTGATTAGATTGCCATTTGTAGAATTATATATAGATGAAACTATATAGATGTACTCTGTTTTGTCTGGCTTCTTTCAGTCAGCATAATGATTCTGGGATCCATGAATGTGTTTGTGTGCATCGATAGTTTGCTCCTTTTTATTGTTCGGTAGTATTCCACCATACAGATACGAAACTGTTTATACATCCATCTCTTAATAGACATTTGGATTGTTTTTAGTTTTTGGCTGTTATAAAGATGCTGATATGGCTGAAATGTGTGTCCCCTCCATATTTCATGTTGAGATGTGATTCCAGTGTTGGAGGTGGGGCCGAGTGGGAGGTAACTGGATCATGGTGGCAGATCCCTGATGAATGGTTTAGCACTATCTCCTTTGTGATAAGTGAGTTCTCAGTTAGTTCATGTGAGTTATGGTTGTTTAAGAGTCTGGGACCTCCCCATTCTCACTCTCTTGCTCTTGCTCTCACCATGTGACATGCTGGCTCCCCTTCACCTTCTGCTATGATTGTGAACTTTCTGAGGCCCTCATCAGGAGCTGAGCAGATGTTGGTGCCATGTTTATACAGCCTGCAGAACCATGAGCCAATTAAACCTATTTTATTTATAAATTACCCAGTCTCAGATATTCCTTTATAGTAATACAAAAAAGGCCTAATACAGAGTTATTTAAGTCTCTTGAATAACTAGGAGTGGAATGGCTGGGATGTTTTGTAGATACACGGAATTGTATCTTTTTTTATTCCCACAAGCAGTGTATAAGAGTGTTTATTTCCACATGTTAAGAACCAATTCATTGCAATTTTCTTTACTTTTTTATAGGAAATAAGTTGAACTTTTTCAAAGGCTTTTTAAACATCTGTGGAGGTAACCATGTGATTTTTCTTCTTAGTCCTATTAGTATTGTGCACTCTAATAGTGGGTTTCCTAACAGAGTCCTAACAGGTTCTTGCATTCTTCATACAAATATCAAGTCATGGTGTGGTTTTTTTTTGTTGTTGTTTTGTTTTTTTTTTAGTGTTGCTAGGGAATCTATTTCTAAATCGTATTTTGGATTTTTGCATCAGTTGTCATAAATGATGTTGCTCTATACTTTTCTTTTTTTGTGCTACCATTACTATGATTAGGTACTGATGTTATATTTACATCATTAAAATAATTTGAGAATTTTCCTTATTTGCCATGCTCTGAAATAATTTAAAAATATTGGGACTATTTGGTCTTTAAAAGTTGGGTTGAATTTCCCTGTGCAGTCATCTGGATCTGGTGTCTCTTTGTGATCATTTGTTTTTTCTCGATAATTTTCTCTATTTCTTCTATGAAAATTGGTTAGTTTAAGCTTTCTGCCTCTTCTGGCATTAATTTTGGTAAACTGTTTTCTAAGAAATTATACATTTTATCTGGGCTTATAGAAAGAAGACTAATATCAGCACAACAAAAATCTGTCAGCTTATATAAATTTTCTCATAATTCATCACCCGAACTACCACTAAAATGAACACAGTGTCTAAAAACGTAAACCAAGACTATTTTTTAAAAAAGGAAACATAAAGAGATGTGTTCCCATGGGAATGCCTGCCCAGATTTATCTTGGTAAATTTGTTCACAATTGTCACAATCCTACCACAGGGTGAAAGTTCTATGCAAGAATACACAATTAACTCTGAGACATTTTTACACACCTATGTTAGTAGAGGGTATCTCTTTCTCCTCTACCCAAGAGTGGAGCCACATTGACTATTTCTATTAATTACTAATTATTAGTAGTAATATTTGTACATTGCTATTTACTCATATAGTCAATAACAAATAATACAGATGTTCTTGGCTTTTTTATCTCAATACTTGAGAGAAATTTTGGCAATAGAGATAATTTTACTTATATCTCTAATGTTTGCAGAGCTTCTATTCGCTTCAAAAGTTGTTTTATGAAAAAAGATTTCAGGAGAATCTGGTTTCTAAAACTTATTTATTATACATCATCATTTGTCTTCATGTAGGTTTGAAGAAGAGTGATTTTAATGAAGCAAAATCAGCATAAATGCTATAAAACAAATGCTCAAACCAACCAATGAAGCACTGTTTGCTCTGCTCTACTCCATGTTACGTGTCTGGGGTTCTCCAAATCTCCCCTTCCTCGTGTATCTCAGACTAATGACCATGGGTGGTAAATGAGATCCTCCAAACATCCACATTTGCAAACAGCAGGGGTGAGGATGGAAGTTAGGGGACATCTCTTCTGGCTACATTAGAAATATTTTCTAGAAATACTTTGTGCTGACCACCCAAACACTCTTAATCATGAATAATTTCTTCAGGGACTGTGGTAATTGGTTTGGACTTTTAAGGCTGTCTTTAACTTTCTTCTCCCTTGTTTCTTCTAGCATCTTTCACTCTCACTGTATCTCAGTCAGGGTTCAAATGCCTCTGAGCACTGCAGCAGCATTCCCTTGGAATCATCTCAGCTTTCTCTTGACATTCAGTAGAATGTTGGAAAGGCTTTTTATATATTTATCCCAGCTTATGGTGCCAATCGCTTAGGTATTTTGTTCTAGTCTTCAACAGCATAAGAAGTCCAAGTAAGCACCTTTTCAAGGAATGTTGCTCTTTTCAAGAAATACTATTCTGGGACTTTGTTTCAATTCTTCATATTATCTGGGACTATGCTCTGGCAGATTTAACTTCCAAAGTTCAAAATTTAAGTCAAATTTTAAATCTTTGTAACATACATACAATATCTTATTTTCTTCTCAAAAGTGAGAATGAAATGGAGACACAGAAATAGTTCATCTTTCATATTCTCTTTATAAATTGGTATCTGATACAGTTCACACCGAGGCGAATGTGTGAGATCTTGGCACTCAAGAATAAGGCAACGGTGTGAAATGAAGAATTTCACAATATTTGATTAAAGGATAACAAATATCTCTTATTATTGCTCAAAATAAATAATATCTTATAAAATAACATCAAGAAGAAAAATAGATTTTAATGGGCCCCTGTAAGAAACTGATGGATCAACCATGTAGAAATTAGTAAGGAGTGAAAAGATTTCAACGACCAAATTAAAAAACCTGATATAAGAGAATCTTGTACTCAATAGATAGGAATATTTTTAAAAGATATTTTTAAAGCACAAAACCAACACTTTTAAAAACAAATGAATATAACATGTTTAAAAGGGAGTATATAGAAACTATACATTCTTTCCAAAGTCATGTGGAACATAAGGATTCACAACATTTCTCAAAATTTTATCACATAGATAAAGTTCTATAACCACTATGCAAGTAATTTAGAAATTAACAATAAAAGATGGAGAAACCAATATATTTGGGAAAAAAACTCGCAAATAATCTGTGTGTTAAGAAGACAATAATGAGAGAAACTATGAAATCTTTAGAACTAAATGACTATCAAAATACATATGTATCAAGATGTTTGATAATCAGTTCAAATGGCACATAGGGATAAGTGTGTAGTTTTAAATGCATTTATTAAAAGATAAGAAGACATTGTGGCATTGTCAGATCCAGGCTTGTTTAAATTTGTGCTTTCTATTTCTTTATTTTCTTTATTTTCTTTGTGTTGTAACAAAATGGGTAACAGCATATACCAATTCACCCAAAACTTCTCCGCGACAATAGCAAGCTTTCGAACTTTTAACTATTTATTGAAATTATGTGATGGTCTCACTATTGGAGTCAATAAAGTATGGTTCTTAATTAAAAAAAAAATCTCCCCTGCCTTTAGTATTTTTAAATTAAATTGTGATAGGGTAAAAGCAATATAAATCAATGTTCTATTTTTTTCTTGACGTAAGAAGTCATTTAGTACTTTCAAGTCTACTAGTTTATTCATTGTTTACTTATCTGCTAGATAATTATGTATTTTTATTACTACAAGTTCTGAAACATGCCATTAGAAATCAAGGTTATCTGAGGTTCCAGGTATTATGGAGTTTCTTCTTATGCTTCTTTATCTTCATATTTTCTGAAGTAAAAATAAAAAATATAACATATAGAAATAATATATTAATTCATAAAGATGAAATTATTTTCACAATTTCTTAATCATATTATCTCCTTATTGTATCCTCTTTGACACCACCCACGCTTTTAGTATAGGGAAGGTAACTTTATATTGGGAGAAGATAAGATTCTTAAGATGTATTAGACAATGCCAATTTTAATACTCTCATGCTGTTAAAATGATTGAAAACAGATTTCCATCTGTGGGATTCCAGGGAAATCTTTATAGTCAGACTATCATTACAGCCAACAAGGCATTGTAGGTAATGTACAAATAGTTTAACTCATTTATTTGATTTTTATAACATAAAATAAAAATATAGAAAAGATTTAGGGTAATTTAAAGTGAAAACACAATAATCCTTTAATAATAATATATAAGAAAAAGCCAGAGATTAAATATAAAATAAGGACTGAAGAAATTCTGCTTTTAATATAAGATTATATGGATACTACATATCATATGAAATGAGTTTTGAATTTCTTGTTACTAAAAGGGGAAAAAAACCCACACAAAACCAAAGAAATCATGACAGTTTTTTGAGAAATATCTTTTCCTAGCATCAAATTCTAAAAGAGAATTGTTGCATGTATTTTCACATAAAAGAGAATCATAAAACTTTAAATAACAGTTTTGAAGAAAATGCAAAAATGTCATACAGTATTAATATATCATCCTTTAATAAAAGTCAAGGGCAGCCGGGCGTGGTGGCTCACGCCTGCAATGCCAGCACTTTGGGAGGCTGAGGCGGGTGGATCACGAGGTCAAGAGATCGAGACCACCCTGGCTAACATGGTGAAACCCCGTCTCTACTAAAAATACAAAAAAAAAAAAAAATTAGCCAGGTGTGGTGGCGGGCACCTGTAGTCCCAGCTACTGGGGAGGCTGAGGCAGGAGAATGGCGTGAACCCGGGAGGCGGAGCTTGCAATGAGGTGAGATGGCAGCACTACACTCCAGCCTGGGCGACTGAGCAAGACTCCATCTCAAAAAAATAAATAAATAAAAATAAAATAAAAATAAAAGTCAAGTACATGACCTTAAGTAGTAATTCAGTTAAAACATTTTTTTTTTTTAACTTTTATTTTAGGCTCAGGGGTACATGTGTAGGCTTGTTATATAGGTAAATTTTTGTCACAGGGGTTTGGTGTACAGCTTATTTTGCTAACCAGGTACTAAGCATAGTAACTGATAGTTATTTTTCCTGATCCTTTCCCTCTTCCTACCATCTTCCCTCAAGTAAGCCCCAGTATCTGTTGTTCACCTCTCTGTGTCCATGCGATTCTCATCATTTAGCTCCTATTTATAGGTGAGAACATGCAGTATTTGGATTTATCTTCCTGTGTTAGTTTACTAACAATAATGGCCTCCAGCAGCATCCATGTGCCTGCAAAGGACATGATCTCGTTCTTTTTTATGGCTATGCAGTATTCTGTGGTGCATGTGTACCACATTTTCCTTATCCACTCTATTGCTGATGGGCATTTAGGTTGATTCTGTGTCTTTGCTATTGTGAATAGAGGAACATATGTGTGCATGTGTGTTTATGGTAGAACAATTTGTATTCCTTTGGGTATATATCCAGTAATGGGATTGTTGGGTCAAATGATAGTTCTGTTTTTAGTTCTTTGAGGAATTGCCACACTGCTTTCCATGATGGTTGAACTAATTTACACTCTGCACTGTGTAAGTGTTCTCTTTTCTCTGCAACCTCACTAGCATCTTTGATTTTTTTGCCTTTTTTTTTTTTTTTTTTTTTTTTGATATGGAGTTCTGCTTGCCTAGGCTGGAGTACAATGGTGCAATCTTGGCCCACGGCAACCTCTGCCTCCCAGATTCAAGCAATTCTCCAGCCTTGGCCTCTGGAGTAGCTGGAATTATAGGCACCTGCCACTACACCCAGCTAATGTTTGTAGTTTTTTTAGTAGAGACGGGGTTTCACCATGTTGGCCAGGCTGGTCTTGAACTCCTGACCTCAGGTGATTCGCCCACCTCGGCCTCCCAAAGTGCTGGGATTACAGGCGTGAGCCACCATGCCCAACCCTATTTTTGACTTTTTAATGATAACCATTCTGACTGGTGTGAGATGGTATCTCACTGTGGTTTGGGTTTGGTTTGCATTTCTCTAATGCTTAGTGATACTGAGCATTTTTTTCATATGCTTCTTGGCTGCATGTATGTCTTCTTCTAAAAATCATCTGTTTGTGTTTTTTGCCCACTTTTTAATGGGGTTGTTTTTTGTTTGTAACTTTGAGTTCTTTACAGATCCTGGATATTAGACCTTTGTCAAATACATAGTTTTTAAAAATATTTTCTCCCATTCTGTAGGTTGTCTGTTTACTCTGTTGATAGTTTGTTTTGCTATATAGAAGCTCTTTAATTAGATCTGATGTGTCAATTTTTGTTTTTATTGCAATTCTTTTTGGAATCTTCATCATAAGATCTTTATCAGTTCCTGTGTCCAGAATGGTATTTCCTAGGTTATCTTTCAGGGTTTTCATAATTTCAGGTTTTATATTTAAGGCTTTAATCCAACTTGAGCTGATTTTTATATATGGTGTAAGGAAGGGGTCCAGTTTCAATCTTCTGCATGGGCCAGTCAGTTATCCCAGCACCATTTATTGAATAGGAAGTCTTTTCCCCCATTGCTTGCTTTTGTCAGCTTTGTTAAAGATCAGATGATGTAGATGTGTGGCATTATTTCTGGGCTCTCTATTTTGTTTAATTGGTTTATGTGTCTGTTTTTGTTCCAGTACCACTGAAAGCCTATCATGTGGTTTTTGTCTTTAGTTTTGCTTATGTGACAAATCACATTTATTGATTTACGTGTATTGAACCAATCTTGCATACCAGGGATAAAGCTTACTTGATTGTGGTGAGTTAGCTTTTCGATGTGTTGCTGGATTTGGTTTGCTGGGTTTTTGTTGAGGATTTTTGCGTTGATGTTCTTTGAAGATATGGGCCTGAAGTTTTTGTTGTTGTTGTCTCTGCCAGGTTTTGGTATCAGGATGATGTTAGCCTCGCAGAATGACTTAGGGAGGAGTCCCTACTTTTCAATTTTTTGGAATCATTTCTGTCGGAATGGTACCAGGTCTTCTCTGCACACCTAATAGAATTTGGCTGTGAATCTGTCTGGGCTTTTTTGGCTCAGTAGGCTATTTATTACTGATTAAATTTTGGAGTTTCTTATTGGTCTATTCAGGGATTCACTTTTTTCCTGGCTCAGTCTTGGGAGGGTGTATGTGTCCAGGAATTCGTCCACTTCTAGATTTTCTAGTTTGTGTGCATAGAGGTGTTCATAGTAGTCTCTTATGATTATTTGTATTTCTGTAGAGTCAGTGGTAATGTCTCCTTTGTCATTTCTAATTGTGCTTATTTGAATCTTTTCTCTTTTCTTCATTATTACAATTAAGCTAGTGGTCCATATGTCTTATTCATTTCTTCGAAGAACCAACTCCTGGACTCATTGATCTTTTGAATGGTTTTTCGTGTCTCAGTCTCCTTCAGTTCAGCTCTGATTTTGGTTACTTCTTGTATTCTGCTAGCTTTGGAGTTGGTTTGCTGTGGCTTCTCTAGTTTTTTTGTTTGTTTGTTTGTTTGTTTTTTAGCTGTGATGTTAGATTGTTAATTTGAGATCTTTCTAGCTTTTTGATGTGGGTATATAGTGTTATAAATTTCCCTCTTAACACTGCCTTAGCTGTGTCCCAGAAATTCTGGAATGTTTTACCTTTGTCCTCATTAGTTTCAAAGAACTTCTTAATTTCTGCTTTCATTATTTACCCAAAAGTCATTCAGGACTAGGTTGTTTAATTTCCATGTAATTGTTTGGTTTTGAGCAATTTTCTTAGTCTTCATTTCTATTTTTATTGTACTTGGTCTGAGAGCATGGTTGGTATGATTTTGAGGTTTTGTTTTGCATTTGCTGAGGATTGTTTTATGTCCAATTTTGTGGTCAGTTTTAGAGTATGTGCCATGTGGTTATCAGAAGAATGTATATCCTGTTGTTTTGGGGCAGAGAGTTCTGTAGGTGTATGTTAGGTTCATTTGGTCGAGTGTTGAGTTTAGGTCCTAAATATGTTTTGTTAATTTTCTGCCATGATGATCTGTGTAATACTGTCAGTGGGGTATTAAAGTCTCCCACTATTATGTGTGGCTGTCTACATCTCTTTGTAGGTCTCTGAGAGCTTGCTTTATGAATCTGGGTGCTCCTGAGTTGGGTGTATATATATTTTGGATAGTTAGCTCTTGTTGAATTGAACCCTTTACCATTATGTAATCCCTTCTTTGTCTTCTCTGATGTTGTTTTAAAGTCTGTTTGGTCTCAAATTACAATTGCAATCCTTGCCTTTTTTCTGATTTCCATTTGTTGGTAGATTTTTCTCCATCCCTTTATTTTGAGCTTTTAAGAGTCACTGCATGTGAGATGGATTTCTTGAAGATAGCATACCAATCTCTTGAAGACTTGCTTTTTTATCCAGCTTGCCACTCTGTCTTTTAAGTGAGGCATTTAGCCTATTTACATTCAAGATTAGTATTAATATGTGTGCATTTGAGCTTGTCATTGTGTTGTTAGCTGCTTACTACGCAAACCTGTTTGTGTGGTTGCTTTATAATGTCACTGGTTTATGTACTTAAACGTGTTTTTGCATTGGCTGGTAACAGTCCTTCCTTTCCATATTTAGTGCTCCTTTCAGGAGGTTTTGTAAGGCAGGTCTGGTGGTAATGAATTCTCTCAGCATTTACTTGTCTGAAAAGGATCTTATTTCTCCTTTGCTTAGGAAGCTTAGTTTGGCTGGATATGAAATTCTTGGTTGAAAATTTTTTTCCTTTAGAATGCTGAATATAGGCCTCCAATCTCTTCTGGCTTGCAGGGTTTCAACTGAGAGGTCTACTGTTCGCCTAATGGGATTCCCTTTATAGGTTATCTGCCCTTTCTCTCTGGCTGCCTTTAACATTCTTTCTTTCATTTTGACCTCTGTAAATCAGATAATTATGTGTCTTGCGGATGATCTTCTAGTATCTTGCAGGGATTCTCTGGATTTCCTGAATTTGAATGTTGTCCTCTCTAGCAAGGGTGGAGAAGCTTTCATTGGCAATATTCTGAAATAAATTTTCCAAGTTGTCAGCTTTCCAACCCTGTCTTATTCAGTGATGCTAGTGATTCATAGATTTGGCCTGTTTACATAATCTCATATTTCTGGGAGATTTGTTTATTCTTTTTCACTCTTTTTGTTTATTTTGACTATATTATTTCAGGAAGGCAAGCTTCAAGCTCTGAGATTCTTTCCTCAACTTGGTCTATTCTACTGTTAATACTTGCAAGTGCATTAGGATATTCTTGTAGTGTGTTTTTCAGCTCTATCAGGTCAGATTATTTGTTATACTGGCTATTTTATCTGTCAGTTCCTGTATTGTTATATTTTGATTCTTAGATTCATTGGATCAAGTATCTGCCAGTTCCTGTATTGTTATGTTTTGATTCTTAGATTCATTGGATCAAGTATCAACGTTCTCCTGAATCTTGAAGATCTTAATTTCTATCCATATCCTGAATTTTATTTCTGTCATTTCAGCCATCTCAGCCTGATTAAGAGCCTTTGCTAGAGAACTAGTGTGGTCATTTGCAGGACAGAAGACACACTGATCATTTGAGTTGCTGGAGTTCTCGTGCTGATCCTTTCTTCTCTGTGTGTGGTATTCTTTTCAGTTAAAGCATTTTTATGGGAAGTATCCTTCTACTCCCTGTCCCTTCATCACCTCCAACTAGGCTTGTCAGATTTAGCAACAACTACTACAACAACAAAACAAATGAGACATACATGAAAAAAAAATTGTTTAACTGAAATTCAAAGTCAATTGGGTGTCCTGTATTTTATCTGGCAACCTTAATTACAGTACATTTAAACAATTGGCCCTATGCCCAGTGCACTGTAATAAATAGAAAATGACTTTTTGTATACAATGGAGAGGTAGAAAATTATAGAAATACACACTATTAACTTATCAACTAAGAAAAATCTTTCTTTTAAGTATTTTATTGGAATTTTCAGAAAGTATGGTTTTGTTAACCAGTTTGGAAATATGTTAGTTGTTTCCAAAAGAAAATTTTATGTTTATCATAGACCTAGAATATGAAATGATAAACAGCATTTAAACTTACAATCTAGGCAAATTTCAAAAAATTTAAAAATTAAGAAAGTTCATCACTAAAAAGGCATATTTTTGTTTTATTAAATTATTATTTTTTGAACTACAAGCTGGATGACTAGAGATAAATAAAGTTATTTTTCTGCTTAATAAAATTGTAGAAAATTTATCTTACAATTTAAAAAGTTTTATCATGGCTGGGCACGGTGGCTCACGCCTGTAATCCCAGCACTTTGGGAGGCCGAGACGGGCGGATCACGAGGTCAGGAGATCCAGACCATCCTGGCTAACACGGTGAAACCCCATCTCTACTAAAAATACAAAAAAACTAGCTGGGCGAGGTGGCGGGCGCCTGTAGTCCCAGCTACTGGGGAGGCTGAGGCAGGAGAATGGCGTGAACCTGGGAGGTGGAGCTTGCAGTGAGCCGAGATCGCGCCACTGCACTCCAGCCTGGGCGACAGAGTGAGACTACTTCTCAAAAAAAACCAAGTTTTATCATAAGGGTAAAAGAAAATTTAACTGGTTAAAGAACAAATTTTACCTAAAAGTTTTTAAAAAAGACTTAAAGAAATGAATATTAAGGGAAACACAGTAGTAAAAGTTGAACATTCATAGAATGTAATTTAAAATAAAATTAATAAATATCTGATAATTGTCTATATATTTATATCAATTTTCTTATACTTACCACTTTATTGAAGGATTAGTATTTTAAAATATGATGTAGTCTCTTAAGAAATTTGATAGTCTAATCCTTATTATGCCATTATTTCCAAAGAATGATTTTGATACTTTTTAAAGAAGCTTTAGAAGCATGAAACTCCTAATAATAGACATCCTGTTAAAAATTTTAAAAATAATTTGAATATAAACACATTTGGCATATTATTAAATTGTTATTGAATTCTATTTTGTGTGGTATGAGGTATAAAAAAGGAAAAAAGCCAACATTAAAACATCAAAATATGAATGTTCGTGTCTACATTTCCTTAATATGCCATGAATTTACAAAGGTGAGGTTAAAATATCATATCTGGCCAAAAAATATAATGAAAGAATCCCATTATAATAGCGTCAAAAAAGAGAATGGTATAGACCAATTTATTTCTGCATCGTATCTACAACTGTGTATTCTGATGGTGTGACTTTTTGCACAAAGATTCACAACAGTTACATTTTCATTGTTCCAGGCACATATTTGTCTTGTTTGGCACATTTTCTTTGTTGGATTCCACTTTGCTTGATAGCTACAGCTAACATTTACTGACTTCACATTATGTTCTAGGCATGGTTCCAAATCATGCATTACAATACACAAAGCAGAAAAAGCAGAAAGAGGGCGAGTCATGAATGATGGGAAGATGTATATGTCTATTTCTCATTCAATTGACAAAGGATTAAAGCAAGCATTTCTTTCATAGTGTAAAGACACTAAGGGTAGAGGTGTCGAGGGTGGAAGAAATCTTAAGGATCATTTAAACTCTTCGAAGCTTTTATAGATGAAGAAAGCTCAGAGGAGTGTTAGAGCTTGCCCAGTATCATATATGTACTCCCTAGTTCACCAGGACTGAAAATTAGGTGCTTTGACCTTGAAATCTTTGTTTCTTCTACTACACTAAGGGGCTGAGTCAATTATCAATAATATTGTATCTGAAAATGATGCAAAATTTTAAAAATGACTAAAATCCAAGCAATGCTAAATTTTTCTTCATCTGGTAAAACAGAGGTCTGAAATAAAAATTCTGATACATTTAAATTAAATAGTAGAGGGATTTTATTTTTGAAATATTATAGTATAATTTTGAATTTTAGACTAAAATAGTGAATTTTATTATAATTTTCAAAGCACTTTTTTAGTCTTCTTTGAATTGCACAACTGGGAACAGTAAGGCGAAATAGTTTATGTAGGCTGAATTCTTCTTACCATGATAGATAACTCGGGGCTTTAAAAGATGATTGCTTAATTTATAAATGTTCTTCACAACATACAGTTCTACCATAAGATGAATTCTGCTTAAGCAACCATATTTTATAGTCTCTTATGTCACCACTCTTTTTCTAAATAGTATTTTATAAGTTTATAAAATGTTGTATGTTACTAAAGTTACATTTCAAAATCTTACTTTTTCATATTGTTCTTTTCCAGGGAATGATGAATGTATACCAACATGCTGGAAAAGAGAAGGTTTATACCGAATACGTATTTGCTTCTTTCGTTTTATACAGTTTCCCTGTGGAAAAAGAGAAACAACAATCTTCTGTAAAAACCCAGATATTGCTTTGTATTGTGTTTGCTGAGGGTAGAATTTTTATATATTAGTTTTTGCTAGAGTTCTATTTTCATATTTAAAAATATAAACAAAATATTTAATTCTTAGCTTTTTCTTCAAAAGAATAGAGCAAAGGAATTGGGGTAAAAAAAATTTTCGTTACAACATGTATTTGCATGAACTCTATCTTAGAAAACCAGGTTAGTGTTGTACCAACTATATTTCCTCTCTTTCTTTTAATTATAATAACTCAAATAAAATGCTTGGTATTTTTCTATCCATATCTGTCAGACTACAGTATTCTTTCACTTCCCATATTCATTGACTAATTTCTTTATTGAATTATATCACCTCAATTTCTTCTTAGAGAGTAAAAATGTGATATTAAAACAAAGAACCAATTTATAGTCAATGAAGAATAATCTGGATAATTTTCTCAAAAATGAAAATAAGAAGGATGACCTATAGAACCACTCCTATTAAAAACAAACATTTGAAGGCTGGGCACAGTGGCTCATGCCTGTAATCCCAGCACTTTGGGAGGCTGAGGTGGGAGGATTGCTCAGGAGTTTGAGACCAGCTTGGGCAATATAGTGAGACTCCATTTTTAAAAAACAAAAACAAAAACAAAACGAACAATAAAAACCCCACAAACATTTGAAATAATTATGATCACTGAGAATTATTTTATAGATTTCTATACATAGAAGATTCAGAAAAATAAATCTAAAATTTATATATATAGTAATTTTTTTACATAACAGGTTTATTTAGATGCATTTCTACCCAGTACTAACACATAGGAAATATGGTCTAGAGTTAATTTAATTTGAAATAAAATTAGCATCAGATAAAATGAGTTTAGCATATAAAATAATGGCTCGGTAAATACACCCTCAAAACAACCTGTTGATAAAGCTGAGCTTATTTCATATTGCCGTAAGGACAGTCATTACTTTTATGGAGTCTGGATAGTGTCTGTTCAAATCTTTTGCCCTTTTTAAAATTGAGTTGTTTGTTTTGAGAGTTCTATACATATACTGAATACATGTCCTTTGTCGGATATGGAATTTACAAATATTTTCTCCTAGTCTGTGGTGTCTTACCGTCCTCTTAACGGTACCTGTTTGCAGCACAAAAATTTTTAATTTTGATAAGGTCCAATTTATGAATTTTTTAAAATGCTTTTAGTGCCATTTAAAAAAAATTTTCACCCAGTCCTAGGTCCTGAACATTTTTTTCTATATTTTCTTCCAAGAGTTTTAGTGTTTAGATAGATGATTTTTTGTGTTTAGATAGATGATTTATTTTGAAATAATGTTTGTATAAAGTGTGAGGTTTAGGTTGCAGTATGGTTGAGAGATAGGGCACCAGTTGATCCAGTAAATATTTGTGATAAGATTATTCTTTCTCCATTGAATTACATACACTTCTTTGTAAAATACCAGTTGGTTATATTTTGTGGGCCTATTTCTGGACTCTATTCTGCTCCATGGACCTTTATGTTTATCCTTTTGCCAATAAAGGTGGCTTGTCTTGAATACTGTAGCTTTTTCGTAAGCTTTCAGATTGAATAATGTGATTTTCCCAACTTTATTCTGCTTTTTCAAAATTATTTTAGTTGATTTATTTCCTTTGTCTTCTCTTAAAAATTCTAGAGTCAGTTTTGGTAGAATACCTACCAAAAAATTCCTGCTGGGATTTTGATTAGAATTGTGTTAAATCCATAGACCAATTTGGGGAACATTCATACCTTTACTAGGTTGAGCCTCCCAATCTATGATCATGGTATGTCTCTCTGTCCCTTTCATTAGCATTTTAAGGTGTCCAGCATATAGACAATGTACATATTTTGTTAAATGTATACACATACAGATACATAAACATTTTATATATAATATTTTTTAAATATTGTAAGTAATTTTGAAATGTTGGTGAGACCGTTTTTCTCTTTGTCCCCACCCAAATTTCATGTCAAACTGTAGTTCTTACATTTCAGGGGAGGGAGTTGGTGGGAGGTGATTGGATCATATGTGTAAATTTCCCCCATGCTGTTCTCATGATGGTGAGTGAGTTCTCATGAGATCTATTGGTTTTATGTGTGGCAATTACCCCCTGGCTTTCTCTCACCTGCTGCTATGTAAGACGTCCCTTGTTTCCCTTCACCTTCTGTCATGATTGTAAGTTTTCTGAGGCCTCCCTAGCCATTCAGAACTGTGAGTCAATTAAGCCTCTTTTCATTATAAACGACCCAGTCTCAGGTAGTTCTTTATAGCAGTGTGAAAATGGACTAATACATTTGGTTTTCAACGTTTCATTGCTATTTTGAGGAAAAATGATGGATTTTTGTGTGTATAGACCTTGTATCTTGCAACTTTGCTCAAACTCATTTATCAGTTCTAGGATATGTGTGTGTGTGTGTGTGTGTGTGTGTGTGTGTGTGTATTCTTTGTGATTTGCTGCATAGACAATCATGGCATTTGCTTTTCAATTCGTGTGCCTTTATTTTTCCCTTTATTGCACTGCTTTGAGCTTCCAGTAAAAGGTTGAATAGGAGTGGTGAGGATGGACATGGTTACTTTTTTCTTAATCTTAGAGAGAAAGCATCCAGTTTTCAACAATTAAACATGAAGTTGGCTATGGGATTTCCCTAAATGCTCTTTAACATGTCAGAGAAGTTTCTTTCTATTCCTAATTGGCTGGGAGTTTTTATTATGTATGAATTTTGAATTTCATCAAATGATTTTTCTGTATCAGTTGATATTATCATGTGGCTTTTCTTCTTTAGAATCTTAAATTGGTGGGTTACGCTGTATGATTTTCAAACATTAAACCAGTCTTGTATTCATAGGATAAATACCAATTAGTATGGTATTTTTCTTTTTACATATTGCTAGATTCAATTCACTGTTACTTGGAAGATTTTTCTGTCTGTATATTTGGGGGATATTTGGTCTTGGTTTCCTTTTTTGCTCTGTTTTCGTCTGGTTTTCATGTCATAATGCCGACCTCATGAAAAGAATTGGGATGTACCCTTTCCTCTTCTATTTTGGATAAGATATTATATACAATTGTTATTATTTCGTCTCCATTAGTAGAATACACCTTTAAACCCTTTGGATGTGGAAATTTCCTTTTGAGGATTTAAAAATAATAATTTAATTTCTTTAGTAGATATAGGACTACTCAGGTTACCAATTTCATGTTGGATGAGTTTTGGTAGTTTACAATTTTTGATGGATTTCATTTTCAAGTTGCTCTTTGAATATGCAAGGAAGTGCCTGCAGTATTCCCTTATTATCCTTTTGGTATCTGTGGAGTATGTTGCGGAACTCCCACTTTCTTTCTAATGTTGATAAGCTGTATTTTTTTGTCACTCTTATTAGAAACTTAGCAGTTTTATTGCTTTTTTTAAAAAAATTACCTTTTGGTTTTATTGGTTTTCTCTGTTATTTTTATGCTTTTAATTTTCTGTTTTCTTTTATTATTATTATTTTCTTCCCTCTCTTCCTTTACCTTTTATTTTGCCCTTCTTTTTCTAGTTTGTTAATGTGGAAGTTGAGATTATGAATGTGAGATCTTTCTTCTCTTCTGAGATACAGATTTAAGTCTATAAGCTTTCTCTCTAAGCAGTGCTTTAGCTGCATTCCAGAAATGTTGAAACACTGTATTTTCATTCATTTCAAAGACTTGTCTAATTTCCTTTAAAACTTCTTCCTTCATCTAGGGCTTATTGAGAAGTGTGTATGTTTATGTTGCTGATTTCTAATTTGATTCCATTGTGGTACAAGAACATACATTTAAAAATTATTTCAATTTAAATTTGTTAAGCTTTGTTTTATGATCCAAGATGTGGCTATTTTGGTGAATGTTGTATCTGTTTTTTTTTAGAGAATGTATTTCTTACTGTTATTGGATGTAGTGGTTTTTAACTGCCAATTAAATCCAGTTGACAGATGGTGATGTTCAGTTCTTTTATCTCCTTGCTGGTTTTCTGCCTATCAGTTCTGCTGATTACTGAGAAAGAGAAGAGTTGAAATCTCCAACTGTAATTGTAGATCAACGTATTTTTTCTTTTAGTTCTGTCAGTTTTTGCTTCATGTATTTCAAGACTCTGTTGTCTTCTTGGTAAATTAACCCTTTTATTATATATAATATCTTTCTCGATACCTAGACTGTTTTTTTTTCTTTGCTTTTAAGTTTATTCTGATATTAATATAGCTACTATAAGCTGGGCGTTGTGGCTCACCCCTGTAATCCCAGCACTTTTGGAGGACAAGGTGGGCTGATGGTTTGAGCCTAGGAGCTTGAGACCAGGCTGGGCAACATGGCGAAAGCCTGTCTCTGCATAAAATACAAAAATTAGCTGGGCATGGTGGCATGCACCTATAGTCCCAGTTACTAAGGAGGCTGAGGTGGGAGGATCACCTGAGCCCAGGGAGGTTGAGGTTGCAGTGAGCTGTGAATGTGCCACTGCAATCCAGCCTGGGCTACAGAATGAGTCTCAATAAATAACTAAATAGCTACTACTGCAAATCTCCTTTGATTTGTGTTTGTATGGTATATATTTTTTTCATCCACAGTTTTAACCTATCTATAATATTTGAACTGAATATTGACTTTAGTGGTGGCATCATTTAAAAAATTGACTCTGACAAACTCTTAATAGTGTACTTTAATCATTTATATTAATGTAAGTATTGGCATGTTTGAATTTATGTCTACCATTTTTTTCTGTTTGTTCACTCTGTTTTTGATCCTCTGTTTCAACTTTTCACTACATTTTAGGGGTCTCTCATTACTTCATTTAACAGGTAGAAAGATCAAAATTGGGGATATTAGAAATTTAAAAAATTGATGTATTTATCAGATTTGGTTTGGTAAACAAACTTTAGGTAATTACATTAGATAGATAATATTTTTCCTAAAATATTTTTTATTCGTAAAGTAAATAAATACTCACAAGATCTTCTCCTGTGTCACACACCTTTATCTGAAAAATGTCATTCAGGAGCCAGTCTATGGGTTTCTCTTTGTAGAACATTAAAAAAAACCGTACAAAGTGAGTTAAGTCCTCAGATCTAAACAGCTTTCCTATGGGAAAAAATATAATTAGATGCAAATAATTCATATATAGTTGTTCATTCCTTTAACATGGGAAAAAAGCAAAAGTTATTAAAATTTAAATATGTCCCATTCCTTAGCACTAAAGATTAAAGCACTACTGAAGTTGGACAATGATAAAATTGAACACTATATCTGCTTAAGTATCAAGAATTACCACATCTGAAGGAGAATATAAGCAGGTTTAGAATAGTCAATACTCTCAGGAAATCAATTGTGATAACTAATGTGGATCGATTGCCTAAATCAAGTGAAAGATAAGTGAATAGAATGAAACATATAGGCGCTGTAATCTTTTACTTAATTTCTGCAGAATAAGAATTACCACATCTGAAGGAGAATATAAGTAGAAGTTTAGAATAGTCACACTTAGAAATCAATTGTGATAACTAATGTGGATCGATTGCCTAAATCATGAAGAGTTAAGTGAATAGAATGAACATACAGGCGCCTGCAACTACCAATCTCACACAAACCGCATTTCTTTAACTGACTGCAACCCAACCAACCTATTTTACTTATAGTATTTTTGTTGCAATATTTGAGAATTATGGCTAGGAGGTGAGGAGAGCAGGTGAGTTTTTTTTTTTTTTTTTTTTTTTGAGACGGAGTCTTGCTCTGTCGCCCAGGCTGGGGTGCAGTGGCCGGATCTCAGCTCACTGCAAGCTCCGCCTCCCGAGTTTACGCCATTCTCCTGCCTCAGCCTCCCGAGTAGCTGGGACTACAGGCGCCCGCCACCTCGCCCGGCTAGTTTTTTGTATTTTTTTTTAGTAGAGACGGGGTTTCACCGTGTTAGCCAGGATGGTCTCGATCTCCTGACCTCGTGATCCGCCCGTCTCGGCCTCCCAAAGTTCTGGGATTACAGGTTGGAGCCACCGCGCCTGGCCTGTATTTGTTATTCTTAAAGATTTACTATATTTTAAAATATTATTCCATTAGGTCTAATAATTTTTTTCTAATATGCTGCATCTTTAATTTTAAAATGAAGTTGAAGGGATAAGATTCAGGTACATATTCACTTCAAAGTAAATAATGTAAAATACATCTAATGATTTGATAAATATGAAAGTAGGATGTAAGCATGCTTCATTCTTCACTAGGACTTGAGTTTATACGGGTCACTTACTAAAATGTATAATTGTATTTTAATGTTTTGCACCCATTTGTATAGTGACCAAAGCAAGTGATTTAATGATGTATAAAATAGCCGATTCAATTCCTAACCTGCTGTCACCATGCTGTAAAATTCTAGTTGGCAAGCTCATATTTTTAGCAAATAATGAATAACCGAATTATGATAACTAAAAGCAAACTTTTGTAAGTTTAAGCTTGAATAAGATCTGGCATCCTGTAAATAGTACACCTTGTTCAATGTGCTCTTGTGATCAGAATGTAAGTATTCTCTATGTGTCTCCTACTTGACTTCGCTGAGAAAGATAAATTTTTTTGAGAATTTTAAATTCTCAGACTAATCCATCAGCAAGATTATTTTGTCTCCATGCTTTTCACTGGGTATTATTGTTAACAAAAATTTTCCTTCTTATTTTAAAAAAGGCTGAGGAAAAACCTTTGGGCCCTTAAAATTTTACAGAAAACATGAAACACAAAAGTCATCGAGTGAGTATATGAAAAACAGATGGACCTCACCAGCAATCCCAGAAATGCTTTATACTGAGAATGGCAAATATATGCATATAATAATAGATAAAACCAAGTGTTGTCAAGCATATGGGGAAGCACGAACTTTTATGTACTGCTTATGAAAGCATAAACCGCCAGGCGCGGTGGCTCACGCCTGTAATCCCAGCACTTTGGGAGGCCGAGGTGGGCGGATCACAAGGTCAGGAGATTGAGACCACGGTGAAATCCCGTCTCTACTAAAAATACAAAAAAAAAAAAATTAGCCGGGCGCGGTGGCGGGCGCCTGTAGTCCCAGCTACTCAGGAGGCTGAGGCAGGAGACTAATCCATCAGCAAGATTATTTTGTTTCCATGCTTTTCACTGGGCATTATTGTTAACAAAAATTTTCCTTCTTATTTTAAAAGGCTGAGGGAAAACCTTGGGCCCTAAAATGCAGAGTATGAAACACAAAAGTCATCGAAAGTGAGTATATGAAAAGTAAAGATGGACCTCACCAGTAATCCCAGAAATGCTTTATACTCGAGAATGGCAATATATGCATATAATAATAGATAAAACCAAGTGTTGTCAAGCATATGGGGAAGCACGAACTTTTATGTACTGCTTATGAAAGCATAAACCGCCAGGCGGTGGCCTCGCGCCTGTAATCCCAGCACTTTGGGAGGCCGAGGTGGGCGGATCTGTCAGAGATTGAGACCACGGTGAAATCCCGCTCTCTACTAAAAATACAAAAAAAAATTAGCCGGGAAGCGCGGTGGCGGCGCCTGTAGTCCCAGCTACTCAGGAGGCTGAGGCAGAGAATGCAGGTGTGAACCCGTGGAGGCGGAGTTGCAGTGAGCAAGATCGCGCTACTGCACTCCAGCCCAGACAGGAGCGAGACCCCCGTCTAAAAAAAAAAAAAAAAAAAAAAAAAAAAAAAAAAGAAAGCATAAACCATATAACCAAGAAAGCATAAACCATATAACCAATCTGTAAAGCAATCAGCAGTACTTAGAGCTATGTGAATCCTCAGCGGTCCACTCCAGGGGACATATACGTCACTTCATTTTTTCATGGTAGTAGAACATTGGAAGCAATTAAGGTCTGCCACTCAGGAAATAGATAAACCAAATGTGAGTAATAAGTGATAAGTCACTTCTTTCAAAGTTCTTTGGTGAGTGGTCACTGTGCATCCAGTATTTAGTCCACTTGTAGACAGCAAAATGTGTGGTTGTCTTGCCTTGCCTTCTGGTGATAAATCCACATGACATTTAACAAAAGTAGGTCATCAAAAGAAGGGACTGACTGGATGACAGATGAAAGCACAGAAAGTGAACGCTGGAAGTGAATTTGGATGTGACTATAAGACAGCTGATCGTGGGATTGTTGATGTAAAGAAATTAAAAGCAGGTTACAGTTTTATATGCATGACCTCTATGTGCAAAACTGGTAGTCCTCACTGCACAATTCTGAATGCAGAAATTTCAGTGGCCATCATTATGCAGCACTTACGCAACAGTAAAAAAACCAATAAACTAAATGAACATAAAAAAATGCTGATAGTTTAGAAATCAAGTTTTGAGGACAAAAATGTAAGGAATAGGAATATACAAATATGAAAAGCATCAAATAATTTACATGGATATTGTATATTTATAAATGTATTTTGAACATATTAGAGTGAACAATATGTTGAAGAATGGCAGGAAGTGGGTGTAGGGATTGGGAATGAAAGAAAAGAATAAATAAGGAAGAGTTCCTGCATGAATCAATAACGTCATGTACCATAAAATGAGGAGTATGGTAACTTAACTTGGGGCCTTGAGGTTCAAAGGAAAGAAAAAAACATGGAAGTGAAGAAAGAAAAATTGAAGAATTTGAAAGGAAAATCTATGGAAGAATAGTAAAAAAAAAAAAAAAAATCTCTTTATGGGCACAGTATTTGGAAATTTTCTGCGGTGGATATAATTCCTCTTATGTTTTTACATTTTTTAAGACTGCCAGCTTTAGCATACTGGAAATTGCAGCAGCTGAGTTAAAATCCCTTTCTCTACAATTTTAATTATCTGAGTTTCAGTACTCTTATAAAGCAGAGAAAAGTGCGTCTTAGCCACTGAGCTAACATGTGTGCCAGACTCACAGCAAGCACTTAATAAATGGTAACTCTTTTATGCTTCTATAACTTAAGTGTCTAAATGTCAATTTTATCTCTCTAGAAAAAAGTTTGGTTTAAGAAAACACATTATCTGGAATTCAGGTACTTGTATCTGATTATACTGTTAAGATATTCATGTCTTTATAAAAATCATGCCATTCTTTTTCCTTTAGTAATAAACAAACTGATAAACTCTTTTAAATGTTTTAAATTATTGTGTGCTAAAAAACTTGATCCAACAAAGTAGATCTATTGCTTACCTATGAATCCAAGCATTGAAAACTCAATAAAAAACCAATTATTTGAACTGATGTTACCTACAAAATCTGTTATTTTTGTAAAGTACATCTCTTTAGCTATGATATCATCTTCTAGCTGAAAAAAAAACCCCAAAAGACATTAGTACCTTCGACGCTTTCATTGAGTAAGCTACATTAACTTGAAAATAAAAAATACAATAGAATATACTGAAGAAAATGTTTTTTATAAAATAATAATTTTATTTCAGTTTCAATCAATTGAAGGTATTTACAGGTATTTACAGTTAGTTGATCTCCTTTTTTTTTTTTTTTTTTTTTTTTTGACAGGGTCTCACTCCATTACCCAGGCTGGAGTGCACTGGCATGACTGCAGGCACGTGCCGCCTGCCTAATTTTTATATTATTTGTAGAGATAGGGTTTTACCATGTTGCCCAGGCTGGTTTCGAATTCCTGGGCTCAAGTAATCCTCCTGCCTTGGCCTCCCAACTCCTGGGCTCAAGTGAGCCTCCTGCCTCCTAAAGTGCCGAGATTACAGGTATGAGACACCATACCCTGCTCCATGTTTGATTCTGAGATTAACTAGACAAGAAATTATCTGTTTCTTTCCTAAATACTAAACATCCCATCTAAATCCCTCTTTGAAAGAGTCTCTTTATCTAACTCCACTTTCATCCTCACAAATACTTCAGTTTCTAGTTTAGAACTGTCTTAGTCCATTTGAGCTGTTATAACAAGATACCATATGATGGGTAGTTTATAAACAACAAATAGTCCTGGAGCCTGGGAAGGCCAAGAACAAAGTGCTAGCAGGCTTATGTCTGCTGAGGGCCCATTCCTCATACATGATGGCTTCCACTGTATCCCCACCCAGTAAAAGGGGCCAGCTAGCTCTCTGAGGTCTCTTTTACAAGGGCACTAATCCCATTTATGAGGCTCTGCCTGCATAATCTAATTGCCTCCCACAGGCTCCACTTCCAAATACTATCACCTTGGGGGTAAGAATTTTAACATATTAATTTTGGGAGGGAGGCCAGGAGCTGTGGCTCACGCCTATAGTCCCGGCACTTTGGGAGGCTGAGGCAGGCAGATTGCTTGAGCCCAGGAGTTCGAGACCAGCCAGGGCAACATGTCTAAACCCTGCCTATGTAAAAACTACAAAAAATTAGTCGAGTGTGGTGATGTGCACCTGTAGTCCCAGCTACTTAAGGCTTCAGTGAGCCATGATTGTGCCACTTCACTCCGACCTGGGCGACAGAGCGAGACATTGTCTCAAGAACAAAACAAAACAAAAACGAAACGTTGGGAGGCTTTGGGAGAGATGCGAACATTGAGCCCATAGCTAAGACGAAGGAGCTTCACGCTCCTGATGAAAGGTGCCACGTTCTAGCTCCAGATATTGTGACTGACAAAGTAGTTCCCAGCAAAGAGAAGACAAAAAGCAACCGGCTCTCTCACCCACAACTCCACAACTAGCTGGTTAGAGTCATGGTGTAAGCCTAAAAATATCCTCCATAAGAAAGAGAGGGCAATGGAAATGAGCTTTCTTTTTTATTTAATATATATTATGCATAATCTGTAGACGAAGAGAGCCTCATAAGTAACAAAGAAAAATGTGGCCGTCCTCAGGCACACTATGAGGACACAGAATAGAACTGTGGTGTTTCAAATTGGGAAGAGTACATTGGCTGGATCTTGTGTTTTCATGACATTGCCACTAACTAGGAATCAAAAGGGACCTTTTTTTTTTAAATTCCAATAAAAGAAAAGACCTTGCTTTAGGCGTTTCTCTAACTTTCTCTCTACTCTAGAACTCTCTTCTGCAAATTCTTCCAATAAGTGCACATTGTCTATGTAGTGAGGTCCATACTTACTATTTAGAAACACAACATTATTATTTAACAATGTACAAGGATTTAGAAGGTACAAACTATATATAATTGATTCACTTTTACAAATACAGTAGACACTGAGAACTGTGTTACTCATAAAGTATGAGTAAATTTAGGGTAGCAATGATACGTGTATATACAATGTCTGACAAATGCTCAAAATGCATTTGCTTAATCTAGTAAAACTGTAAGCCAAGAAACAAATACAGGCGCTACAATTTCTTTTTTTTTTTGAGATTTTCTTTTCAGTTTGCTTCAGGTAACTATAATTTTCTCTATAACCGTGAACCTAGTAAGAATATTCATATATAGTCAATTTTAAACTTCCTTTGCCTTTTTATTATAGTGAGTATTTTCTATTTTCTGAGTATAAAGTATGGTGGAGGAACACAATGAGGAAGAAGAAATTATAGGAAGGAGGGAGAAAGTAACACTTTCAATTTAAATTATATCTATCTACAGATATAATTGGTGTGTACATATATATGTGTGTGTGTGTATATATATATAAAATTGATTATATATGAATATTCTTACCAGGTTCACGGTATATATATATATACACACACACACACACACATATATATACACACACACATACACACCCCAATTTCTTACCTGTAAATAATACTTGGCCTTGGGTTGGGCATACAGCATCAAAATGCAAAAATCCAATACTTGCTTGATTCGCCAACTAAAGGTAATCAATAAGATCTGTTAATATTTGTCATTATTATTTAATTTTTATTTATAAGAATATTAATTTAAAACTCTTTGGCAATTTACTAACAGAGTACTAGCTACAATTAAGTAATTAATTTTACTTAATTAATTTCAATTATGTAAAATTGAATATACTTATACTAAAAAGTTTTCCATCTTTATTCAACGAACAGTGTCTATCATTGCTAAATGAGGATAAGCACAACCCATTTGTTTTACATTTTTATCTAGGTAAGTTTTGATCTAGATAATAGTGTTAATATTCTTTCTGATTTTAGGTCTTGTTTAAATGAAAGTATAAAGAAACTTTATTCTTTTTTCAGTGTCTCTCCTAATAGCTTTCTTTATTGATTCTATCATCCAAGAGTTTTCTCCCCAATTCTTAGGGTTAACTATCTGCTACACAGTATTAATATTTCTTTTTATGGGTCTTTAAACCATTTCCCCTAAGTCTTATCCCTCGGTTTACTCGGAAGGGAAAGGTTGCTTTTTTTGTTTTTATTTTGAAAGTAGTCTCCACAAGCCTCTGGAACTCTTCATGGCCTCTTGAAGAAACCCAATGTAACTCCCTTCACAAGTTGACTTTATGTTTGGCCACACATTGCCCCAACTCTCCCAATCCTAGGGAATGGAGTAATTATATGAATTACTACTCTCCAGCTGATTGATTGTGGCCAGATTTGGGGCAATTTGAACTCTAGGGAGTCAAATATTTTGAATGATAACTGAAAAGAATTAGAGAATTACAGAAAAAAATGGCAGATACGAGACAGGACTAATGTGCATCTCCTGCTTGGCCAGGCAGAACAGTGCCTGGAGACGCACATTGTGAAAGTTTGCTCCAAGAAACACTGCAGGAACATACCAGGAAAACCTAAAGAATTCACAAACCCTTTGAAAGAACTGACTTGACACTGCAAACTCCATGAGATGGCAGAAAAACTGCGAGTTCCCAAGTGTAAGGGGGGAAATGTTGGCCTCCATACACACATCCCCACTGGGGAACCTGAAAATTCAGATCACAGGAGAAGGATTTAACCTTACTCTAGTAGAGCTGAAATGGATTTAGGGAGCCAAGAGAAATATAAAAGTAGAAGCAGTGGGAAGAGCCCTGTAGGCACCCCTGGTCCCCAGCTCCAGACCAGGGACGTCATTCCTGGCCTTATCTCACAGAGTTCCTTGGGGAAGGGAAGGCAGCCAGTGGAATTGGGGATGGGCCACAGGGTGAAGGAAATTCCTAGCTGAACTTTGTAATAATTTTGACTGAGCACAAATTTTCTTGAGCATAATCTGTAGGCAGGGTGAATGAGGAGTGCAGATATGAGCACAGAAGCCACTGCCGAAGGTGTGGGCAGGCAGGGAGGGGTGAGGCATGAGAGCCCTGCTTGCTTTCTTAGTGGGGAGGCTTGTAGCCTGGGGCAAGGGCTCATCCCTGCTCATAGGGCTGCCTGGATATAAATTCACCAAAGAAACTTTATTCTCATACAAAGCTAGATACCAGGCCAGGTCCTGAATATACAAAGAGCAGTACCCAAAGTCATTCTTGCCCTTCTGAGTCTCATAACCGCCTATGAAAATAGTAATAATAATAATAAAAATAATAAAATTACAATAATTGGATAAGTGCTATATGAAGATATCAACAATGTTGGCTATCTTACAGTAAGTTTTCAAAGATGTGGAAAGGGTAGAAGAGCATGCCACTTAATTTTAGGGCACAGAGAGCTGACAGAAAAAAGTTGATGATTGCAAGGTTGGCAGAGACCAGATCATGAATGACATTTTATGATATGTGGGAAACTTTGGACTTGATCTCATATGAGAAAATATTCTTCTGGGTATAGCGTGAAGAATGGATTGTAAGAGAGGCTAGGTTAGGCTAGGATTAGGGACTCTGTAATGGTGAAGGCCTGAACTAAATCCAACCCAATGGAAGGAGGATGAGAGGGATAATGTGTAGAGAGATTTTAAAAAAGAAACGACGACAGAGATATAAAAGGCTGAAGGAAAAACAAGGATCCAGGATGACTTCCAGCTTTGTGACTTTAAAAACTGGGCATAATGTGGACCACTAATTAAAAGCAAAACAAAACACTTAAAAGATTACTAGATTCTGACACACTATTTATAATTTTAAAACAAAAGAAGACTAATCAGTTTCCTGGGATAAGGCCTTTTTCTAATTTCTGGCATGTCTTTTTCTTTATTAAGTTTCGAGGGACCAAATTATTACATTTCCCATAATACCTACCACACTAACACCCCAAATTATAATCCTTTGTATGTGTATGGAGCTTTTAATTTTTTAAGATTCTTTCATAAATATATTTTATTCTCATAATGACTCTTGCAATAATGCAATGTAGGTGTCATTATATACACTAGAAAGTTAGGAAAGCTAAGGGAAAAAAAGGTGAAACTACCTGCCTATAATGACCAGCAAACAGAACAGCTGGGACTAGAATCCAGCTGTAATGATTTATAATCACAGGCTCCCCCCCTCCTCATTATGCTTTACTAATTATCGTCTATAAACGTGAACACAGACCATCAGTGGTGTGCTGGTAAATATTTAACAACTGACTTGGGGGTGGAGGGATGGACATCTTGCTTTGTAGCCTTTGCCCATTTTCATGGTGTAAATACTCCTACTGTGGTTCATGCTATCAACTTGATGTTATTGAACACAGAGTTGGGAAGTGATGCACAAAATTGGGTCTTGCAAACCAGTAGGAGCCAGCTCCAGATGACCGTGTCTTAAATAGTTTCTAGTATGAGTTGATTCCAAGATTTTATCAGATGAAATTAGTTATTTAAGGCTACTATTTTCTAATATGACATACCTGGCTAATTTTTGTGAGGCCTCAGCTAACTGCTTGGCATTTAACATACTTGAGTATAAAAAGGCAGGTATTGAAATGACCTCTAAGGATCCAGACCTCACTTGCCTTTTGAATCTATAAATAGAAGTAAATGTAGACTTATAATTGAATATTTAATTTTCCAGAATAATATACTTAAAAATAATTTTCTTATGCATGTTTACATAGTATTTGATTTGAATTATATCACATGTTGATACACGATACCAGTATCATAAAACTAGCCAAAGGATGTTTTCTATAAATTAATAACAGACATATTAAAATACACAACGTAAAATCAGTTTCTTCTTATAAAAATTACAGGTACTTTGACTTTTTAAAGTTTCCAGTCAGATGTGTACTGTGACATTTGAAACAACTAGGCTCATGGGTTGTGATAACACAGTCACTGTGAGACAGCAAGAACATTAGATCATTTTTAAATGCATAATTTTGAATTGAATAAGAGTCCCACTGAATAGCAATGTGGCTCCTGAGACTAGATTATCACAGCAAGCAAGGATTTAGTCAGACTCTCGTCCACAACTCATTGGAGGACTATGTATACTCTTTAGCATCTTTGTTTTTAAACGTTAATGTTGAGAGACCAACAAGGACATCAATAAACTACATAAAATATGATTCACAAAAATTCAAATATAAATCTTGTACCATCAAGGTAAAGGATGGGAAATCAAGTAGAAAATTTTAAATGGTCTTCCTTTAGAGATATGTGATTTTAAATGAGATTGGAATTTAGGCATTACATTATTCATTAACATGTTAAAAGTTCAAGGAAATGTTTATTTTGTACTACGTAAAAAATTTAAAAGGTTACAGTTTTATATGCATAATCTCCATTATGTGCAAAATAGGCAGTCCTTGCTTTGCACAATTCTGAATGCATAAATTTCAGTTACTGTGTTTTTGTTAAATAACACCAGTCTCCTGCAACAACACTGTAGTCATGATATATTGTGAATAATTGTGTAAAGTACAAACTTCACTGCTAGCTCTTTAGTGCACAAATCACTATATAAATAGCAGATGCACATCATCATTAGTGACTAATTGGATCACTTCTTTCAAAGTCTTTTGGTGACTGGTCTCTGTACGTCTGGTATTTAGTTCACTTGTTGACAGCAAAATGTGTGGTTGCCTTGCCTTGCCTCCCAGTGATAGGCCTACATGATATTTAACAAAAGTAGGTAATCCAAAGAGGGAAGTGGCTGACAGATGAAAGTGCAGAAAGTGAATGCTGGAAGTGAATTTGGATGTGCTATAAAAGAGCTGATCACGGGAACATTGACACCTCCTCTGTCTGAGAGACTCTAGAGATGCAACAAAGGGAACTTAGTGAAGGTGAACTTAAATGACAAATAAGAAAAATGGTTGTGGTGAAATTATGTCACATAGGAAATGATGCTGCTGAAAAACTTCACATTAAAGGAACTCTCAGAGATATTTCATGACACTGAAAACGCAAATGATAAAATGCTGTAACTGATCCAAACTTAGAAAGGAATATAACAATTTGCTGAAGCATAGAAAAGACATTTGCTCAGTGTTTTAAGTTCTATGATAAGAAAAAGGCAAGGACCATTTAAACGACTCTTGATAAAATTTTTAAAAGAAATCAAATACTTTAATACTCAATAATTTTAATGTTTTAAATTACAGTGTAATAAATTAGCTTAACAATATTTTAAAGTTTTCTATGTATTTATAGTTGACAGAAAGTAATGTTTTAACACACGTTTAAATGTCACGGAACAATTGTGATTTTTTTCCCGTTGTTAATATTGGCTTGCATGGTTTAAACTTGCACAATCATTTTTATGGCCCCACGCTATCTTGCAAATCAAGGATTGCCTGAGCATGTATAAAGACACACAAACACAAATGGAAGAAAGCTCATGTTTTATAACGGGTATGTATCATGAAAATGGGGTTGGAGTAGTATACTGTGCTAGAGATAATATATGGGTATTAGACCTAGAAAAGTCTCTGTACCAATTTTGCTTCTTTTACTTCCTAACTTCGAGCAAGTAATTTATTTTTTCTGATCTTTAATTTCCTCATCTATAAAACTGGAATAGCAACTTAAAAACTTTGGGGGGAAAGAACTGTTCAAAATACATGCTGGAATTCTTCCAGGCTCTATACATTAGTGGAAAGGTTTCCAGCCATTTATTTTGGTGGGAGTGTAAGTGGAGGAGTGAAAGGGATGAAAGTCTTACCAGCTGCCCTCTGATTTTATGATATATCAAATGAAAAGATTTTTAAAAAATGAATTCTAATATGTTCCTTGGGGAATAGAAAATACTAGTATGGAAAAAAAGAATGGAGAGTTTGGTTGGTTGTTTTGTGGTAAAAGTTAGTAACATGATATCTAAATTTTCAAATGAATTTGTGTAACTTTCAACTACAAGATCTCGTGCAGCAATTTAGTAGTGGTAAAGGGAAATGACATCAAGTTGCAGCATACACAATCATCAAGAAGTTTAGATTACAGAAATACACGAATTTTGATCTCTAGAAAATTCCATCCAAAGTCCAAAAAGCACCAAAAGATACAACAATTTCTACTTTGATGATATAATTTCCCAGTCACGATGGAGAGAAAGATTCAAGTCTTGGTTTTATTCAATCTGCTTTAAGCAAGAGACTCGAAATTTTGTGTGTTGACACCTTTCTAGGACTCTAAAACTTTTATAGCTTGTTAGGTTATTTATATACAGCATCAAAAGCCCTTGACTTAATTATACGAGAATTGCTAGTTTCCAATGACTGGAGAAAATAATATAACTCTAGGTTGTTGCCATTGAAAATGAATGATTTTATCTTATAGTCATACAAGAGTAGAAATCTTACAACTCTACAGGTTTATGTAAAGTACATAGTTATATACAGTTTCATATAAGGTTATATACAAACATAGATGGGTCCTTTAAAAATTATATTTTCAATTTAGGACTAATCCAAAAATAGAACAATTTCTCATTAACCTAATGAGAAGATCTAGGAAAAGGGTTTTTAGCTAAATTAAATAGGCAAAAGTTGAGACACGTAAATTTAAAGTTATATGTCTATATTATCTTAGATAATGTTTTAAATTAAATATTCACTAACGTGTTAATTTTAAATTATTGCTTTATTCTACTTTCACAAAAATAATTTTATTCCAACTGTTTATTCTGCATTGGTATTATCAATATAATTATCACCTCTAGAATCACTTTTTGAATCACCTGACATAGTTTTCCAGTATCCTTGATTTTCAATTCTAATTACAATATAGCAATTTCTAAAACCAGTGACATTGTCTCTGAAAATTTTGTAGCAAATCAGAACTATTCTCATACATTAGGTAATGTTTTCATTGGAGATCTTTACAAGTAACCACATACTCTAATTTTTTTAAGTGATCTTCAAAAGGCTTACAATGATGTAGTCATATACCTAGGAATCGTTTTACACCTTTGCCTTCTTTTTAATTGATTATGTCAGGAGTCTCCTATAATAATACCAAACTAGCACAGATTGAGGCCACTTCAGGATAATGTGTCTTCTCTAAATAGTAGTTTATTATTCAGAATAGAGCAAAATAACCGAGAAGGCATCCTTGACTAGGAGAAGATTTTAAGGGTTCAAGTATAAGGTAACTTTTTTCCTGGGGAGCCTTTCAGGGGAAATACGAGATGTGTATGGTGTTTTATTTAGTCTTTATTTAATCCCTCTCCCTTCACATAAATCACCTATTTCAAGCCTTCACTACCGTAAGTTCCTTCACTGTCAACAAATCCCTCCTTCTCAACACAGGGACTTACCTCCTTCACAGAGAAAAGAAAAATCTTTAAAAAAGGAATTTTAAGGTGATTACACTGTCTTTTCCCCAACAAATTAATTTTTCTACTCTTTTACCTGCTCTCGTCTCCTCTCTGGTCTCATTCCTGTCTAAAGTTCCCTCCGCCTGAGTCTCCAGTTCCCTCCTGCCTTGCTTCATCAGCCCCTCCTTTCTTTACTACAGCACAAGTAAAAACTCCAGGTGCTTCCACCTCAAAACCTCCCAAACAGTATTTGTCTCCCTCAAGACAGTGATAGTTTTCTTCCTATCAGTTGAACTTACTGACAATAGTCTGCATTCAATTCTTTAAATATGTATTATAAAAACTACCAAACATCCACAAAAATAGAAATAAAATGGGTGCTGTTTTTTTTTAGTAGAGACAGGGTTTGGCCATGTTGCCCAGGCTGATCTCGAACTCTTGGGCTCAAGCAATCCACCCACCTCGGCCTCTCAAAGTGCTGGCCTTACAGGTGTGAGTCACCATGCCTGGCCCTCCTTTTCCTTTCCTTTCTCCTTCCTTCCTCCCTCCCTCCCTCCCTCCCTCCCTCCCTCCCTCCCTCCCTTCCTCCCTCCCTCCCTCCCTCCCTCCCTTCCTTCCTTCCTTCCTTCCTTCCTTCCTTCCTTCCTTCCTTCCTACTTCTATTGTACATTCCTTACTTCTTCTTCTATTGTATGCCTTCTTCCTCTTCTTCCTTTCTTCTTCCCTCTCTGTCTCCTTTCGTTTCTTTTTCAAGTTATCTTACATTTGAACATATATACAGGATTTTGGGAGGCAGGGTCATTCTACAGCATCTTGCTTGATAAAGTTTCATATTGGTTAATCCGCATGTGTTTCCCACTGCTTACATAGCTCAGAAGATTTCCTTCCTTCCTTCCTTCCTTCCTTCCTTCCTTCCTTCCTTCCTTCCCTCCTTCCTTCCTTTCTTCCTTCCCTCTCTGTCTCCTTTTCGTTTCTTTTTCAAGTTGTATCACCCATTTGAACATAGGATTTGGGAGGCAGGGTCCATTCTACAGCATCTTGCTTGATAAAGAGTTTCATATTGGTTAATCCGCATGTGTTTCCACTGCTTATGGCTGAAGAAGATTATAAGCAGAAGTGGTGAAGTAACTTCATACAGTAAAGGATACAGGAGTGTTTTAAAAATAACTCAATAGGCTTCTCTCATACTAATGGTTATCATGCAGGATAAACAGTATAACATGAAAAATATAAATTCTAATTGGTAGATATCCAACAAAATTGGGGAAAACCATTAAGCCATACTTCATTACAGCTTAGAAAGGACTACAGGTTCTTTCTGCACAGCTATACTCATTAAAAGGAATATGATCACTAAGAAAATAATTATACAATTGGACAGAAAAAAAGACAGAAAAATGAAAGTGGCTAATTAAAAAATATATCAGACAGTACTTACTTTCTTGTAATCATTTTAACAACAGAATGTAAATAATCTTCATTACTCTAAAAATGAGAAACAATATTTTACTGATACTAAGCATGTCTCATAGTTCTATTAATACAACATTTTTTGCTATATATAAATCTAATTTTTGTGTGAAATGTTATTATATACTAATAATTTTAGTGTTTTCGGTTTCTATTAAAAGATTTAAAAATATCCATGTTCTCAAAAAATTTGACTTGAATACAGGAAATATTTCATTCTTCTCCCTTTGCCACAATGTGAAATATTACAATCCAAAATTTACCCTTAAAAATTTACCCTTAAAATTGTATACCCTTTAGATTTATAAGATTACATAAAATATTATATATCTAAAGATGTTTTGGTCTAAAAATGGTCATCTTGTGAATGGCTTATTTCAAAGAACTACTCTTTTTGAAAACTACTCTTCATTTCCTCAGTATTATAGGACAATAAGCTTACTTCAAAATTACGTCATATTTCTCCAGACAGTATTACTCAGCTTGATTCCCATTTACCTTTCTGACAATAAACTTTGTGGGCCTGCTCTTCATTGAACAGTGTGCTAGATTAGATGACAGACTCCTGCAAAAAGCTTTTGATGGTTTACCCTCTTGGGATAATTTTTTAAAAAGTAACATGGCATTTACAAGATGTAGCCTCAGGGCCCATAAGCATTTCCAATATAAAATTTTGAAAATATTTTCAACAATGACAGTTCTATTGTTGAATCCGAGTACTCTGAAAGGCAACTCTGGATGTATGTACTCAAGTTTCTTGTTTAAAAATATCAGACATGATGTAGATAAATCTATTATAGTACTGGAGGCTCTTAACCATAAATTGAATCACTGGCTATTTGTCACACACTGAAACATATTATATTTTAAACACAGCATCAAAGTCATATTTTGTAAGCATTTTATATTCCATTTAAAAATCTTCCTCCAATGTTTTATTACAAATGTAAACATTTTAGACAGACATGTGTTGTGCTAACAGCAAGGAAATAAAGATTCTAATATAAAAAATGAGGAAATAGGATGAAACATTTTGGAGATTATGTGCATGCTTTCTTTTAATATTAATAAATTAAACCTGGATGCAATGACTTGAATCTTTCATTTCTATTTTTCTAATAGTTCTTCTATTGCTTGTTTTGTTTAGAGTTTTTTGTGCATTCAAAGACATCTTTATTATAGAAAATTCAAGCAATAGCAAAAAGAATAAAGAGAAGACAACAAAGATTTCTCTTAATCCCAGCATTTAGAGATAACCATTATTTATATTAATGATACATTTACATAATTCCAAAGTTTGCTCATTTTCTGTTTTCTTCATATGTTTCATTTGTTTCTGTGTATTTTTCCCCACCCTCCATCTTTTCCTTCCTTCCTTCATTCCTATTTTATATAGATAACATTATGTTAAACGTGATGCTTTACAGCTTTTCTTCACTTAACAATAGGACGTGAACATCACTTTATATCAGTGAGTATAGATATTCATTCTTCTTTCAATGCCTACAGAGTATTACATTGTAGAGATATATAACAAGGTATTTTATCAGCCTCTTATGGGTAGATATTTTGTTTGTTTCTAATATTATGCTTTCATAACACAACGGTGCACTGAAAATCCTTGAAATAATTATATGTTGAGCACTTACTCTGTGCCACACATCATTCTAAGTACTTTCAATATATTAGCTAATTTCATCCCCCAACAACCCTATGACATAGGCAATATGATTATCACAATTTTAGGGATAAAGGAAAGTGAGGCATAGAGAAGTTAAGTAAGTTGCTCAAGTTCACTGATTGGGTAGTAGAGAAGCTGGCATTTTAACCTTGGTCATCTAAATCCAGAGTCTGTTCTCAACTTCCACACTATACTGCCATATTTTTGCTGGGTTTTTGTTTGTTTGTTTTTTGAGACAGGGTCTCGCTCTGTAGCCCAGGCTGGAGTGCAGTGGTGCAATCACGGCTGACTACAGGCTCTATCTCCTGGGCTCAAATGATTCTCCTGCTGCAACCTCCCAAGTAGCTGGGACTACAGTTGTACACCATCATATCTAGTTATTAATTTTGTTTTTCAGTAGAGATGGGGATCTCGCTATGTTGCCCAGGCTGATTTCAGACTCCTGAGCTCAAGTGATCTTCCTGCCTCAGCACCCCAAAGTGCTGGGATTACAGGCATGAATCCCAACCATTTTTCCTGTTTTTATACACTTGCCTGATTATTTCCTTAGGATAAGTTCCCAGAATTTGAATTCCTGAGATAAAGTATATATACATTTAAATTTAACACAGATTGCCAAATTTATCTCCAAAAAGTCTTATGGTGCTGACATTCACACAGTACTTTATAGTTTTAAATGGTGTTAGGAACAAAGTGGAAATCTCTGGAGCCATTAAAGAGACCTAGGCTTGAATCTGCTCTATTAATTACTGCGCAAGTTACTGACCTTCTTTAAGCTCTAGGTCCATTATCCCTAAAATCAGGACAGTAATACTTACTTCACAGGGATGTAATACAGGTTATAAATGTCTATAAAAATCATCTACAATCTCTCAAGCATAAGAAAGTCTCTAATCATAACTGTTGTTACTTAATACAAATTATCTCTTGATTCATATATGAACCTCTTATTGGACTGGGCACATTTTATTACTAGCATCGATTTTAATAATTTTAATTTTGTTTGTAAATATAACTTCTGAGTCACATAGTAGTCAGGGATTCTATATTAAATGCAATTAAAATTTAGCAATCTTATATTTCCCACATGAAGCCATTATGTTTTCTTTTTAGATTTACATGTTTAATTCCTTCTCGGCAGTATTGAAGAAGTATTAAGTATATTGTCTGGGATCCAAAAAAAGGCATCTATGGGTTGCTTTTTAAAATTAAGAAAACAGTTTTCAACATGGTACAATGATTATTACCATTGAGGAAGGGAATTTGGAGACCACAGGGTGAGAGTAAGGAGAGCTCCTTATTTTGTATACATACATCTGCGACCGAGACAATCACTACAGAATCCTTCTCTTCGGAGAGCGTCATCCTGGAGACAACAGAGGTCAGTGTCTGTCTCAAGTAACTATAATTTCCTCTATTAACAGTGGAAATACCCAGCGCAAAAGAAACTGTGGACATAGGAGTATGAAATCATCATTCCGTACCACAGAGAAAAACACAGTTTAGCATGCATTCTATGCTTATTCCTATGTTTGGGTTAGTCTTATGGTAATAAAATGAGTGTTTGAAACTGTATTACAAAAATAATCCAAACTGTGTTAATTTTTATCACATATTTCATTTTCTTTTTGAGGAAATTTGCAGTGGATTGTTAGTAAAAGCACTAAATAGACTCCAAGACGTTCTCATATTAAAAGGTTTTGGTGTCGCGAAAATAAAACTAACCACTTTCCACTTACTATAGCTTCATCTAACTGGGTATAAAATGTCCTATATTGGTAGATTCTCTCTTCTTTTCCTAACAAGGCACTGGGACTCAAAACAGGAAAAAATCACTATGAAATATTTTCATCTGTGAAAAAAATGTATGAAGTAATTTCTAAATGATTTGATGGAATGAATCCATACCTCTAAGTAACTTTTGTTGCCCAAGAATAACTGGAGCACTAAAGCTCCAAGATGTACACATCTTGGATGTACGGGTGCAGCTAAGATTGAAGCTACCAATCCTAACTATACCAGTGCCTGGCCGTATGGGCTTAGGCAAGATATACAACCTCTCCAGCCTGACGTCCCCAACTTTAAGATAGGGATAAGGACTTCCAGAATGGCTAAGTGAGAAGCTCAGAAAATCCTCTTTCTAGAAAGCAGTAATAAAACTGGAAAAAAAAAAAAAAAAAAAAAAGGTCAAAACAGTCATTTCAGTGCCCTGATAAACTGAGAAGTATTTATTTTTAAAAAACCATGGAACTTTGGAAGGAACAGCAGGAATCAGTGTTTCCCTGATTGCCACTGAGTTTGAACATATTTTCATATGTTTATTGGCTTTTTTTTTTTTTTTTGAGATGGAGTCTCACTCTGTCGCCCAGGCTGGAGTGCAGTGGCGCAATCTCAGCTCACTGCAACCTCCACCTCCCAGGTTCAAGCTATTTTCCTGCCTCAGTCTCCTGAGTAGCTAGGATTACAGGCGTGCACCACCATGCCTGGCTAACTTTTGTAGTTTCAGTAGAGACAGAGTTTCACCGTGTTGACCAGGCTGGTCTCAGACTCCTGACCTCAAGTGATCTGCCCACCTCGGCCTCCCAAAGTGCTGGGATTACAGGCATGTGCCACCGTGCAGGGCTACTTATTGGCTTTTGGATATTCTCTTTTGTAAAATCTTTGTTTAAGCTCTTGCCCATTTCTCTAATGAGTTGCCTGCATTTTTCTTGTTGATTGTATTGATACTCCTTATATATTCTGAATACGAGCCCCTTGTCAGTTATATGTGTTATTGTTAAATATTATCTCCCACTCTTGGTTCCCTTTTCTTTGTTTTGCCCCCTGATGAAGAGAAATTCTTAATTTTTATGTAGTGCAATTTGTCACCCATTTTCTTTATTGTTTGGGTTTTCTGGGTCTTATTGAGAAATCTTTGCTTATCTTCAGGTCATAAAGACATTCTCCTGAGTGATTTTCTAATCGTTTATTGTTTGCCTTTCATATTTAGAGCTGCAATCCACCTGGAATTGATTTTTATGGATAGGTTGAGGCAGGAATCAAGTTTCAAGCTGTAAGCTACAGTATAAAGGCAATTCCTGGAATGGCTTCCTATGTCTTACAATGCATTTACAAGAGTTTAAAAGACTCTTAGTGACCTGGTCCTGATCTATCCCTTTTTTTCAACTACCTACACTTTTCGAATTGACCAAATACCACTCTTACCTCGAAGTCTTTGCACACGCCATTCTTTTTGCCTAGAATACTCTTCTTCGTCTAGTTTCCTTTGATAATTCTACTTATTTCTCAGGATTCAACTAAATATTAGTCATTTGATCACAAATTGTTACTTAATCCTTTCACCAGCTATGCATTCTTACCTTATCTTTCATAGTACTCATCACCCCTTTGGTTGTTACTCATTCCTATCTAGAACGTCAGCTTGGTGACAGCAGAGACACCTTCATGTGTGCTTACATTATAAATCCAGCACTAACATAAAGACTGCCACATGGTAATGATAATAAGTTGAAAATGAACAAACAATAAATGGGCAAGCCCCTTTATTATTTGGCCTGTGTCCATGGTCTTGCTACTTATACCCTCCAGCCCCAATTGTGCATGCAAGACACACATCCTTTCTAGGCCTTCTTGCCACCTGACTTTTGCACATTTCTTTTCCTCTGTCTAGATGACCACCCTCTACTTTCCGCTGTCCACTGCCCACCACTTTCTTACTTAGTCTATTCCAATTCTTTTACCCTTCGTGTCGCTTATATGACACTTCTTCCAGAAAGCATAGCATAGGATTTTGGCTCCACCCTGGTATTTCCCTTATCACAGCACTAGTCGCTTTATATTATAATTACCTTGTCATTTGTCTGTATGAAGGTGGGGTCTATGTCTTGTTCACCCCATATCCCAGGGCCTAAGAAGTGCCCAGAACAGTGTAGAAGCTTATTAAATGAGGAGACATGGAAGAATTCACAGAGAAGTTGTCATTTAAGCTGAAAAGTCATGTTGGATAAGGGAGTCACATTACAAATCAGTTTGGTTTGCCAGAGGAGGTATGTTCATTATAGGCAGTGGTTAGCACATGCAGAATATATGAAGCTTGTCCTATCTGTTCTCACAGAGCTTGGCCTATCTGTGAGAACTGCAAGTGGTTTGTGGTTTCTGGAAAGGAGAGGCATGGCAGAGACTGAGATTTGAAAGATATAGTCTTTTGTGCATATACCCTGCCAAGAGGCTAACTTCACCTCATGTGCACTGAGGGTCTACTGAAGGATCTTAAGCAAGAGTCAAGTATGATCGGTGATGAATTTTACTAACATATCTTTGAGGAAAGTATGAAGAATGGATTGACTTTGGTGATACCAAAATCACGAGAGAAATTACAAATATGTTTCCATAAACCAGGCAAAAAATGATGACGGGCTCAATAAAAAATAGTTATAGAGGGGCTTCAGAAGGCAGAAATTATCTGAGATCTATTCAGAATACAGAATAAACAAGACTGATGATGGATTTCCTAGTAGACCTTGCCACAGGCTTCAATCCTCTTACATATGTTTCATGTGTTAGGAGTTTTTTAGTTGCCTATAACAGAATCTTCCTTAAATTGCTTCTGGTAATTGAGAAAAGCCACCAAAAGGGCCTCAAAACAAGGATAAATATATACATCATGATGGAAGATCAGGAAATAGTTGGGGAATTAGAAAATTTTTCTGGATTTAACACAGCTCCGATAACTGGATTACCTCAACCCTCCAACTCCCTATACAAGAAGGTCTATTGCTTCTCCCAAACACCACCCTGTCTCTCCCTCCTTCCTTTCACTCTGTGTCATGGGCTTCCACTTACATTTGATGATGCTTATGCAAGGCTATGCTTATTCTTGGTATCTAATATCTTATTACTTCTATGCATTGTTCTTCTTGCTTGTGTCTTTCAACTTTTCGTCATCCTACAAACTGTAGCTTTTGCACTTTCTCATACATTCACACACACGTATGCATGTATTTGTATATACAGGTAAAGAGTTTTACAAGTATGAACTCAAGAAGTTTCTTAATTTCTCTAAGCCTCAGTTTTTTCAGGTGTAAAAAAGAGATGACAATAATAGGCCCTATTGCATTGGATTGTGAAGATTAAATGAGATAATGTAAGAAAACATAGAACTCAGTAAGTGGAACACAGAATGCAGTAGATAAACGAGGTCATCAGAGGCATATGATACAAAACAACACTACTTATTCCTATGGAACTGTCTAGAGCAGAAGTCAGCAAACTTTTTTTTTTTAAATAAAGGGGCAGATAGTAAGCATTTTTGGCTGTTGGGTTATACCATCTCTGTTGCAACTACTCAACTCTGCCACTGGAGCACAAAAGCAGATATAGACAAGTAAATGGATAAGCATAACTATGTTCCAACGAAACTGTGTGTTAAAACATGGAGCTAATGGGCCTGGCCTAGAGCGACTCACTCACTGGAATGAGTGAGGTTTATAGGAATGGCAGGTATCCTGAGGCTTAGCTTAATATTCCTGCTTCAAACTCCAAAGCTTCTTGTCTTGTATACCTGGTGAACCTGAACTTATGTGTCAAGGCTTACCTCAAGCATCACCTGTTCTATAAAGCTATTACTGACCTTGGTCTCCAGAAAGATTGGGAAATAGGAAAATAACCAGGTAAGCATAGATTTACCAAAACCAAGGAGAAAAAATTTGCCAGACATTTGGCATATGCTTAGTTATATTTGACTTATATTTCTTATTTTCAAAGCATTTGCATTACGCTAAATTTGAATTTAAGTCACCAAATGTTTATGAAACTATTATTTTCTGCCAGACAATATACTGACTTCCAGTAATCCAAATTAATGCCAGATAGGCTGGTAGTCTGCGTATCAATCTAATATATTAATGGGTTACATCTTAAAACTTAAAAGTATGTCCCCAAAGATCAAAATACCTGTATTTAATTTTCCAATTCTAAGTTTTCTTACCACCAGTTTTCCCTTTGCCAATGATTACATCAGGATAAATTCTGCCTTCTTTCCTTATATGAGGAAAAAAGAACTTTAAGTCTTCAAATGTATTAGATATTGTTTCATTTTTATTTAATATGTCTGCTTTCTGTGCAACTGAAAGAAAAAAAAATAATGCTTCTGAGTATATGATTATAAGGATTTTTCTCCCTCTGGAATAATTTTTTTAAAGGTGTGTTAATAAACTCACAGATTCATTTAGCATTCAATATATAAAATAAATACTCCAAAATGTAAATTGTCAAAATAATAATGCTAAAAATAAAGCTCAACTACTATTGATTCATATTTATTTATAAAGTAATATTTAATTTAAGCCTAGAATTATAAGATACACGGAGGACAATAGAACTGTCAGTTCCAAATGAAAAAAGTGTAACTAAAACATGCTGTAATTGGTTTATTCTACTACTTTGATTAATATCACTTTATTAAATTTATATCTTTACACCTTTGCTTTGTAGCCCCTAAAATTTAATGACTGTATTTGTAACCTTCATTAGAATTTGCTTCTACAATTTTGAAAAAGAAAATGTTAGAGGACGCACATTGCCCAATTTTAATTCATAATAAATAACAATGTAGTAAAAACAGTGTCATATAAAAAAATAGATATATAAACAATGGAACAGACCATAGAATACAGAAGTAAGTTCACAAAAATATGGTTGACTGACTTAAGACAAAGTTGCAAAGGTAACTGAACGCAGAAAAGACAGTTGATAAAGGTATTTGAACACTTGGACATCTATGTGGAAAAAACTGAACATTGACTTGTTTTTTATGCTGTTTATAAAAATTAACTTAAAAAGTTCATAGACATAAACGTAAAACATAAACCTATGAATTTTTAAAAAAGAAAAACAAAAAAGAAAACCTTCATGACCCTGAGATAGGTAAAGAGATCTTAGATACAATATAACAACACAAAAAACAAAATACATAAAAGAAAAATTCACAAATTAGACTTCATCAAAAATTAAAAATGCTTGCCCCTGAAAGCATCATAAAGAGAATGAAAGAGTGTCACCAACTGGAAGAAAGTATTTCTAAGTCACATATCCATCTGATATGTATCCAGGATAATGTGTAGCACTCTCTTAAAACTCAGTGAGAAAACAAAATCACCCAATTAAAGAAACTGGCAAAACAGGAGTTTGAGAACGGCATGAGCAACATAGCAAAACCCCCATCTCTAAACACACACACACACACACACACACACACACACACACACACACACACACACACATCGCTTTATAGAAGCATCTCAAATCAGAAGGTGTCACCCGGCACGGAAGAAGTATTTCAGTCACATGCTATCATCCAAATTATCATGCATATCAGAGATCATCATGTCCACTTTCTCTTAAACTCAAACGAGAAGAACCGTCTTTGGTGAGCCATGACCTGCCGGTTTGGGAGACGAAGCTTCTAAACAACCGCCTTGAAACCCCATCTCTGCTGACACACACACACACACACACACACACACACAGTGGGGCATGAGTAGCATGTGGAGTCCCAACTATTCCGGGAAGCTGAGGTGGGGGATCTTAAGGCTCAGACACACACACACACACACACACACACACACACACACACACACACACAGTGGGGCATAGTGGCATGTGCCTGGAGTCCCAGCTATTCAGGAAGCTGAGGTGGGAGGATCCCTTGAGCTCAGAGGTGAAGGCTGCGGTGAGCCATGATTGTGCCATTGCATTCCCCATTTGAATGGACATTTCACCAAAGAAGACATCTGGATGGCAAATAGTAAAAATGTTCAACATCATTAGTTTCTGGGAAATGCAACATAAAGCTATGAGATATCATGGCGTTAGAATGGGTATAATAGGACAGGCATGGTCCCGTAATTCAGCACTTTGGAAGGCTGAGGTGGGAGGCTTGCTTGAGGCCAGGAGTCCAAGATCAGCCTGGGCAACATAGAGAGACCTCATCTCTACAAAAAATAAAATTAGCCAGGTGTGGTAGCACATGACTGTAGTCCTAGCTACTTGGGAGACTGAGATAGGAGGATTGCTTGGGCCCAGGAGGTGGAGGCTGCAGTGAGCCACGATTGCTCCATTGCCCTCCAGCTTGGGCAACAGAGCAAGAGCCTATTTTTAAAAAATGGCTATAATAAACTGGAGTGACTAAAACTCTCATACATTGCTGGAGGGAGTGAAAAATGGTATAGCCACTCTGTAAAACAGTATGGCAGTTTCTTATAAAGTTGAACATATACTTACCTATGCCCTATCAATCCTACTTCTACATATTAATTCTAAAAAAATTAAAACTTATCTTCATACCAAACACATATCATGAATGCTTATAGGAACATCTATTTTTAATTGCCCAAACCTGAAAACAACCCAAATGCCGTTCAATTGGTGAGAGGATAAACAATATGTCCATTGAACATTGATACAATGAAATCTACTCAGCACTAAAAACAGAACAATTGGTCACAGGACAAGTTGGGTGAATTCTATGCTAAGTGATAGAAGCAAGTTTCAAAGGGTTACGCATTGTTTGATTGCATTTGTATGGCTTCTGGAAAAGGCAAAGCAATAAGAACAGAGATCTAATCAGTGGTTGCCAGGGATTAAGAGTAGGGGGAGGACTGGAGTACAAAGGGGATGCACAAGGCAGGAATTTTTGTCCTGGAGAAATGGAAAGCCACTGAAGGTTTATATGAGAAAAATTAGCTGTATGTTACTAGTCACTCAGATAAAGCCGGAAGGTTGCCTGACTAATGTAGCAGAAATGATGATAGAAAATGTGGACAAATTTTTGAGATAGATAGAATGGTGAACCAACCAGGATTGCTTATTACTGACATGGAAGCATGCAAGAGGCAGAGGGAGGGGTCAGAGATGATCCTCAGGTTTCTGGTTGCATCTATTGAATGGTTCGTGAATGGTGGTGCAATTCACAGAGCCGGAAAGCACAGGAGACTACTTCCTGGTCGAGATGAGAGAAAGTAGGTCAGTGATATCTCTTACCTGATTTTTGCATGTCTCACAATAAAAGAACCAGTACTGATTTAGTTAAGTTTGTAGAGAGAAGATGCCCTAAAATCATAAGACATTGAATCTACATTTCCAAAAACAAAACAAAACAAACAAATCACAATATACAAAAAAAAAATCAACACAAACCTAAGTTTCCTGACAAATTTTCTCTCTTTGTAATTTCATACTTTATTCGATTCAAAACTTTCATCATCTCTTGGCTATTTTTTTCAGTTTTGTTTCTTAAGTGTAGCATATTTTCTTTAAACTCCAAAATATGGTTTCTACAATTAATTAATCGATTATCTGCAATGAAAATATATGTATATATTTGTACATGTAGCAATGGTGTCACACAATTTTCTATAATAGATAAGAATGTAAAATACAAGTTTCAATATAGTTATATATAGTACTATATATGTATTATATGTATATATATATACAATATACATATAGTATATACTACATGTGTAAATACATGCATAGGTACAAATATAAAAGACTGGAAAGAAAGAACAAAATGTTAAATATAGTGATATGCAGAAGGTGGGGTTATCAATGATTTTTTGCTTTATTACTCTGTGCTTTTCTTTTTTTTTCCAAATTTTCCGTGGTGTGCGTATATCAGATTTGTATTAGAGTGTAATCCCATTAACCCCCCAAAAATACATCTAAGAAATTATATGAAGAAAATTATGAGGAATATGTACACATATTTGGACTAAGGATATTTAACATAGGCCATAGTATTTAGCAATTTTTTTTTAAAATTGGAAACGACCAAAGTGCCCAACAGTAGGAAATTTGCTAAATAAATTACAGAATATTCTTTTAAGAGTTCTGATGGCTCTGATGTCAAATCATGTATAATATGTTTAATATTTGTGTTATCTGGTGAAAATTACTTAATTTTTTTTGCCTCTGCTCCTTTTGGTGTAAATGCATACATAAAAATCCCTGCCTCAGAGCTGTTGTGAAGAGATGTAATGATGATGCACATAAACTAAAGTTTCAGGATACAAAATCAACAGTAGAGTTTCTATCCACTAACAACAAGCTATCCAGGAAAGAAATCTATTAAACCACCCCATTTACAATGGCAACAATAAAATACTTAGGAATAAATTTAATTAAGGAGGTGAAAGAGCAGTGCACTGAAAACTATATAATCTGGGTGAAAGAAATTGAATACACAAATAAATGGAAAGATATCACATGTTCATGGATTAGAAGAATATTGTTAAAATGTCTATACTACCAAAACAATTGACAGATTCAATGCAATCCCTTTAAAAATTCCAATTACATTTTTCACAGAAACAGAAAAAGAAACCCTGCAATTCATATGAAACCACAAAAGACCCCAAAAAGCCAAAACAATCTTGAATGAAAAGAATAAAGCTGGAGACATCACACTGCTTGACTTCAAAATACATTGCAAAGCTATGATAATCAAAACAGCATGGTACTGGCATAATAAGCGACACATAGACCAATAGAACAAAATAGGGAAACCAGAAATAAATTCATGCATTTACAGTAACTTGATCTTTGACAAAGTTGCCAAGAACGCACAACAGGGAAAGAACAGTGTCTTCAATAAAACTGTGTTGAGAAAACTAGATATCCACATGCAGAAGAATGAAGTTAGATCTTTATTTTAACCCACATACAAAATCAACTAAAAATGGATGAAATGCTTAAGTGTAAGACCTGAAACTGTAAGATTAATAGAAGAAAACATTAGGAAAAAGCTTCATGACCTTGGTCTGAGCAATGATTTTTCAGATATGACTCCAAAATCACAAACAACAAAAAACAAAATAAATGAATGGGATTACATCAAGTTAAACAAGCTTATGCACAGCAAAGTAAACAATTAACAGAGTGAAGAGACAACATGGATTGAAAATATTTCAACCCAAGAGACAATCTATGGGTTCAAATTTGTCCAGTGGGAGAAAATATTTGCAAACCATACATCTGATAAGAGGTTAATATCTAAAATATGTAAGAAACTCAAACACTCAATAACAAACAAACAAAAAAAGTAAAACATCAGCAAAAGATTTGAATAGATATTTGTCAAAACAAGACAAACAAATGGCCATGTATATAGAAAAGTGCTTGATACCACAAATCATCAGCGAAATGCAAATTAAAACAATGAGTTACCACCTCACACCTGTTAGAAAGGCTATCATCAGAGACAAAAGGTGAGAATATGGAGAGAAAGAAACTCTTGCACATTGTTGGCAGGAATATAAATTGGTGTAGCCATTATGGAACACAGTATGGAGGCTCCTTAAAAAATTAAAAATAGAAATGCATAATGCAGCAATCCCACTGTTGGGTATGTATTCAAAGGAAATAAAGTCTGTATGTTGGATGGATGTTATGGTTCACACCTGTAAACCCAGCACTTTGGGAGATCAAAGTGAGAGAACTGCTTGAGCTCAGGAGTTCAAGGCCGCAGTGGAGCCATGATTGTACCACTGCACTCCAGCCTGAGCAACAGGGCTAGACTCTGTCTCAAAAAAAAAAAAAAAAAAGGCAATGGTGATACATTTGGGTTGAAACATTTAATATTTTTTCATTCATCTGCTTTGTCTGAACCAGAGTGCACAAGTGGATAGCCTGTGGCAAAAATTGGATAATTCCTCTCCCCTGCTCCAAACCCTCCAAAATATTTCTCGTCACACTTAAAAAAATAACCAAAGTCCTTACCATGACCCACAAAGCCCTGTGTGATCAGTCCTTGAGTTCCTCCCTGGTCTAATTTCCTACCCTTCCTGCCTCACTGTGAGGGAGCCCAGCATCACCCACACTGGCCTCCTTGCTCTTCCTCACGTGAACCAAACACTCTCCCACCTTAGGGCTTTGGCTTTTGCAATGTTCTCAGCACTGAATGCTCTTCCCCCATATCCTTTCATTGTTTTATTACATATCCTGTTGTGGCAGGAGGTCCCTAATTTCATTCAGTTTTCTGCTAAGACATTACCACCTCAGGGAAGCCCACCCTGCCATCCTTTGTAAGATAGCACACCCCTCTCCTTCCCTTATTCTTTTTTTTTTTTTTTTAAATACTTTAAGTTCTGGGGTACATGTGCAGAAGGTGCAGGTTTGTTACATAGGTATACATGTGCTGCAACCATCAATCCGTCATCTACATTAGGTATTTCTCCTAATGCTATCCCTCCCCTGGCCACCCATCCCCCGACAGGCCCCGGTGTGTGATGCTCCCCTCCCTGTGTCCATGTGTTCTCATTGTTCAAATCACTTATCACCACCTGACTTCATATTATGTATTGACTGCTTTGATGTTTCACTCCAGAGATTTCTAGAATGTAAACTTGAGAGCAGCAAGAACTTTTTACTACTAAATTCCAACTATCTGAAACAGTGACTTGCATGTAGCTCTTATATGAATATTTGCTTAATGAATAAATAAATTAACGAAATGAATGGACTTGTCAGTATAAGAACTAATTTTAGTGATTCTTAAACTGAATCATGCTTTAATCAAAAGAACTGCACCTATCCAGACAAGCTTTAAACATTCATATTGTAGATACTATTTGAAGATGTTTACAAACCTCAGAGGGGGATGTAGTTTAAGCCCATGATATTAGGGTTTCCCAGGTAATGTTCTCTTTGCAAAATGGATTGTGTGTTCTGAGTTGATATATCATGGGTGATGCAACCTATGTGGGATTCTACATTGTAGGTCAGTCCCTAGGGATCAATTTAGTAAACACGAAAAGAAAGTTTTCTCTAGAGGAAGCAGTATTTACAGCAACAACCATAAACAAATGTTAAAGGACATAATCTCTAATCTTAGATCTGCTTTTTGTACATTTTTCCCTGGTAATTCATTCATCAATATTCTATTTAAAATACTGAAATTACTTGCATATTTACTCAGGTATTTAGTGAGGATGAAATGTTATAACACTGTTTTGCAAAGGTTTGAAATAAACAATAATGAGATGCTTTGAGTCAACTGGGCATCTCTGTAGTGAAACTGTGAAAACAAACACCAGTTCAAGTGTGCAGTGGGTGAATGTGACTTCTGCACATTAAAAATAGGTTCCAGGCTAGATCCTAAGTGCCACTGCTTTGTGCCTCTCACAGCAAGGCTCCAAGGCATTGTGTTCCAGTAGAAATAAAATGCAAGCCACATCTGTAATTTAAAATTTTCTAGTAGTCACATTTTAAAAAATGAAAAGAAACAAATGAAACAAGTGAAAGTAATTTTAAACAATGTATTTTATTTAATACGATATATCCAAAATGTCTCGACATAAAAGTAAACAATGGGCTATTTTACATTTTTGTACTAAATATTCTAAATCCTGCATGCATTTTACACTCACAGCACATCTCAATTCAGATGCTAACTTTTAATAATTATAGTGAAATGTAATCCTACCAAAACAGTACAGTTTTGCTTAATGGAGAAATACTTTGCACAATTTCAGTTATTAAATGTAGACTCAAACTAGTTAAAATAAAATAAAAACGCAGTTTCTCAGTTGCACTCACTAGCTGCATTTCAGGGGCCTCAAAGCCACCTGACTATCACGCCGGATGGCATAAGTCCCCAGCATCAGCTATGAGCTTGTTAGAAATGCAGTATCTCAGGCCCCACGCCAGACCTACTAAGCCAGATTGTGCTATTTAATAAGATTCCCAGTTGACTGCTATGCACATTAAAATTTGAGAAAGACTGTGGCAGACTACTTTCATGGTTTTCTCTTTATCATCATTGATACTACCATAGTTCAAGCTTTATTGCCTTTAGCTGTACTATTATAATTGCCTCTTAATTGGTCTCTCACCTCCAATCCCTGATGAATCTTCTGGAAACACTGCTCAAAGACTATAAATAGTTCCCTGAGTACTTACTTGCCTTGGTCTACCAGGTCCTATACAACATAGCCATGAACGTGACTTGACCTCACTTCATTCACTAAACACCTCCAGTAACAAGCAGCATGCTGAGATTTCTATTCTTCCATTACATACTTGCCATGTGCTATGTGGTAGGTAAATAAACATGAATAAAACCTGGTTCCTGCTCTAAATTAAATTGATACGAATAAAATCTGGCTCCTGACAATCAGGCTGCAAGGAATGTGGGAATGGTGCATATTTTTAAACTGTACTAATTATAATATATTGTTAAAATGGAATTATTCTCAAAGTGCCACAGGCACAGGAAGGCAGGAATGATTAATTCTTAAGGAGAACTGAGGAGTAGGGGAGGTGGAGACGGTTTCAGAGAAGAAGGAAGACTTGAG